ATCTAGTTTAAACAGTCTTGAGATATGTCATAAAAGATTTATCGGAAATCGATTCTTTATCGATTTGAATTCCGCCAGCTCAAAGCAAGTTTATCGGAAATCGATTTATTATCGTTCAGCCATTGCAAGTTGCACTTGCATATTAAGCCATTTCTTATACTATTCCATAAATACAGGGTATACAAAATGAATAGCAATAAAAATATATAAAAAAAGCGACAGCTCCACGAAACGCGGCAAACAAACAGAAATCAAATCCAATTTATGCTTTTTATTTCTTATTTTTAGTTGTTTTCTTTTTGTTTTGTTTTGTTTTTTTTTTTTAACCAACATTAATCATAATTTTGGGCTCCATTCGGCGAGCGTGAAATAATTTTTATGCGCCGTTTTTACGGAACGAACCCAAAATCCGAACGATCCGAAAAGGTGTCAATCGCTAATTTGACGGCCAATGCGAGGCCTGATGAGAACTGCAGAAAGCTGAGCATGAAGCATGTAGAACGTGGGGCCAGCAAGAAGAAGAACAACAGATGCATTGTGCTCGGGCAATTAGCAATGCGCCAGGCCAGGTCAGGCCGTGCGAGGTCAAATCCAAGTCGAAGTCAGACTTGAAATCGTGCATATGAGTATATCAAAGAAAATCGATCTATATTTAAGTGCGAAAGTCCACTCGCTGCTGTGGAAAATTGATGGATTGGTATTGAAACCGATTTGAAAAGATGTTGCTTAAGGTGCTCTTCAAATGAGAATGAAACATTCAAGAATCTTGGCAACTCCAAGAGCAACAAGCTCATCATCATCATCATCATCATCATCATCATCATCATTATCATCAGCAACAACAACAACGTTGATTCATATAGCATATTGTTATACAATAATGCGAGATCAGCTCAATTTGATGCACTACTGATATGGGTTAAGCCGAACGAGAATTCCGAATGACAACAAGAAGAAAGGTCTTCGTGGGCATCTTTCAACTCGGTAGCTGACATATCGAACCGTGGTGGGCGAGGGTAAAGGGTATGGGTGTGGTGCGCGGGAGGGCGAGAGGGGGGCGGGGCGGGGCGGTGCAGACAACCAGAGCAGAGCAGACAATGATGACGCTGCAAAGCGTAGGGGCTGAATGACAACGGTGCATGCAGAGAGAGGGAGAGAGAGAGGGAGAGAGCAAGAGCGAAAGAGTGTGGCAGGGTAAGAGAGAGAGGGGGGGGGTGCTGCTGCTGCTGCGGGAACCTGTTGCAGTTTCGTTTTAGCCACTTGAAAAGCAATTTTTGAAATTTATTTTCCATTTATTGCTTTATTTATTTTATACCTTTTCAGTGTGGCCCATTCAGCGTCTCTCTGTGTCTGTGTGTGTGTGTGTGTGTGTGTAGCTGCTTATGCGATTAGAGCAAGAGGAGCTCTGCCTCGGCTGCTGCAGTCTGTTTATTTGTTTTGGGCCCAGAACAATTCTCGACCAAGGCAAAGGCAACTTGGCCGCGCTCAATGGGCGCGGGGACAACAATCGAAAGTAATAATGAAATCTCATAAACAACAACAACAACAGCAACAACACAGAATGTGTGCGAGCGAGAGCGCAAGCACAAAACTGTCTGCGCCCTTTTGCCTGTGTTGAGTTCGCAGTCGCCATCGCAGTCGCCGTCGCAGTCGGCGTCGCTGTTGCTATTGCTATGGACGACACTTGCCTTGATTTTTATTATGTTGGGCTTTTCCACACACACACACACACAAGCACGCACACACATACGTGCACATGCGCATTTCTGCATTGTTGTTGATTGTTGTTGCATTGCCTTTTGATTTATTGTTAGCAGGAATGAGAGAATGGGCTCTGGCAAAGAGCAAAAGGCACAACAACAGCAACAACAACATTTTCTCAGCAGGCAGCGCTGCATTGTTGCTGCTCTCTCGCTCTCGCTCTCGCTCTCGCACCCTGCTGCTGTTGTGTGTTTTCATGCTTGCATTCCGCGCTCAGAGCATTTTTACCTTTTGCCAAGAATTGTGCGTGTGTCTGCGCCTGCAAGTGTATGCGTGTGTGTGTGTGTGTGTGTTGGTTTCTATTCTTGTGCGGGCAGCAACGTCGTCGCGACGTCGACGCAGTTGTAGACAGTTCATTAATGTTATCAACAGCATGGGGGCATGCGACATGGGTTCGGGGGCTGATCGTGCATTTCTTTGCATTTCGGCCGCATCGTTGTAGGTAACAGCAGCAGCAGCAGCAGAGGCAGCAGCAGCGAGCTGCGCAGTTGCGTCGCTGCTGCTGTCTGGGTTTGTGTCTCAGCTAAACGTCAATTTTGAGCCGCGTAGCACTTGCTGCTGCTGCTGCAGTTCGGCTTCTGCTTCTTCTTCTTGTTGTTGTTGTTGCATAAATGGGCCAAAGTCGAGTTAAATATAACTGGTGGCAACTATTGGCCAAAAAAGGATACAACAACATGCTGGCGCTGTCTTGGCCCGTACAAATTGTCAGCTCGAATGGAACGGGCCAGTTGCATTTTATGGACAGCTTGTTGACCACATGAACTACTTTCCAGTTGGCCAATTGCCGTTAGCCGTCGCTTAACAGATAAAAATAAACCACAACTCACCTGTGCAATGCGTGCAACCTGTGCTGCTCAGGATTCCAACTCTCAACCGTTTCCTTCACTCAGCCGCATTCACAATTGACATAGTTGACTATTGAGCGCGAGAGCGAGTTTCCACTCTACACTATTTTTGTTTTTGTTTTTTTTTTTCAATTCATTCACAACAAGCGGAAAACAAGTTACCTGTTTGCATCAAATAAAAGGCATTAGAAAACTGTTTGCATTTCTTTTGCATCAAAATGAAAACCGAAAGATTCAATTTGTTTTGGCCCCTCGCCTTGTCCGACATCCGACATTCGACGTACGCAACAAGCAACGGCACATTTCCGAAATTTCCGAAAGCAGGCAGCAGCCGGCAAAAGGCAAAAGGCAAACCGCAATAATGTACGATTTAACGGTTATTTTTATGAATGAACGACCAAATTGATTGATGAAACACTGACTGAGAATGGAAGCTGAAGAATGTTATGAAAACATCAATATGTGTAGTTGTACATATGTGTGCATCAGTCACATGTGATGTATGCATACATCAAGCATATTCACGCTTCAACTACATCAGACTCACAGCATTACATCACAAAAACTGATGCCAATTCATCGCCCATACATCAAATGCACATGTGCACGATTGTGCATGCATCATTGATTCTGCATGCACATTCGTACATCTGTATGTACATCACACACACACAGACACACACGCACACATACAGAGAAGTATTTATGTCATTTTGTCGTTTGCCTTTTGCAGCTGTTTGCCGGCCGCCGCGACGTTTTAAAAATAAGAAACAAAATAAATATAAATATAAATAAAAATCAAAAGGAAGAGTAAAAAAAAAAACGAACAACAAAAAAGGAGAGACTAACAATGCAAACGCTTCGACCACTTCGTACGCACTTTGTTGTTGTTTTTGTTGTTGTTGGTTTTTGGCAAATTGCATTCGCTGCCAATTAACACGCACTTTAACAGGTAGCCGCAATCCTCATTAGCCTGATGATCATTGGCAGCTGTAGCTGCAGCTCATTGATAACAATTCGCACAGTTGCCGGGCTGCGATCACTGAATTGAAAACCAACAAAATAATACGCACTGAGAAACACGCCAAAAGCAAATTGGGGTGAAAGAAAGACAAAAAAAAAAAAAAAACGGTAAAGATGCTCGCGCACAATTGCCCAGAACGCAGCACACAACCTGTCAGCGTCGCGTCACGTAAGTAACTGAAATGAACTGAAATGTCTTCGTGCATTCGACGTCAAGAGCGGGCAGCTGGGCCGGCAGCGCTCGGCTCGCATTCGGCCGCACACGAGGCATACGGCCGAAGACACGGCTTGTGTGCGAGTGCGAGCGACAAGGCAGGCAATAGGCAATAATAAAGCTGCCTGGCGATCCACCAATACAGGCGCAGTGCTGCTCAAGACGGCGTTAAGGAAGCTGCGCCTGCTGCAGTCGCCCCCCCCCCCCCCCCCCCCCCTCCACGCCCCTCACCAAAACCCTTCCGCACACGCCACAGCACACTCCATACACAGCCGACAAGCGCAAAAGAAACACACACGTGCCAAAAGATTTGATTTGTTGTTGTTGTTTTTTAATTTTTTTTTATTTTTGTTATTTTCTTGACAGTTTGCATTCGTATTATACATTTACGTTTGATAATAATTTGAATTCTTTATTTATTTTTTTAGTAACTTTTATTCTTGTTCAATAAACTGTAGTATAAGTATAGTTTAACTTTGTGCATGTGTGTGCGTGTGTGTGTGTGTGTTATATGCAATTTTTGTGAGGTTAGGTTAGGATCTGTTAATTGTCAAGCTGCACAACATTTTACACTGGGCTCTCAACGCAAAGAAATCATTGAAAATGAAAAGGTTTTAAGTTTTGATGAGCAAAAAAAAAACAAAAAAAAAAAAGTTATTATTATTATTATTATAAAATGGCTTATATATCAGTTTGGTTATGTATATGTAGTTTGTTCTTCTTGTTCTTGGCTAGTATGCGTTGTTCTTCTTCTTCTTCTTCTTCATCTTGTTCTTGTTCTTGTTCTTGTTTTGTGTGTGTGTGTGTTCGAGTTAGTTGGGCCTTAAAGCTCTATATATATATATATATTTATATGTACTGTAGTTATGAATCCATTTAACTTTATTGTTTCGTTACGAGTTTTCACTTCTTATGGCCGTTTTACGTTTAAAGTTAGTTGTTCTTCTTCTTTCTAACATTATTTGAATAATTTTTGTAGAAGCAATTGCAACATTTCGTTTCTTTGTTTCGTTTTTCTTTTTCGATATCAAAAATTAGCGCATTGTGTGTAAAATTGTCCCTCTTGTTCTATATATATATATATATATATATAGATATTCCATAGTCTAACATAGTATATATATATATATAAAAAAAAGTTTATTTCAAAAAAAAAAGCTAACTTCTGTTGTGGGATTGTTTTTATGTTTTTTTTTTGTTGTTGTTTTGTTTACTTTCATCTCTTCTGGGTGTTGCCTTAAACGACGGGTGGTTCGGTGCCGCCCAGGGCCTCATCGTTACTGGAATGTTCGGAAAATAAAATAAAAATCAAATTAATCAAAAAAAAAAAAACGAAAAAATCAAAGAATTTTCAAATAAAAGTAACATAAATGATATAAAAACAATCTCTAATAAAAGAAAAAACAAATCATATTTTAAATATGAAGATCATAAAAGCTTTTTCAAATATACAGTTATTCTAGCGTACGTCAAGAGCTTTAAGTCGTAATCGTATTGAGGTCAAGCTGAAAGTAGCTTTTAGCTTCATGAGCAGCTGGCAAAGCTCCTGCTAGCTGCCGCAACAAAGTTTTCGTGAGCTTTTAAAGCTCTTTTATTTCAACCGGCAAATCATTTCAGAGCTTTAATGAGAATAGTGTAATTTAAGCTTTTAGCTGTATGTGCGATTAATTTGCGGTTCACTCAAGTTTAAATGAGCTTTCGAAGCTTTTCTCGTGTTAATTTCTCATGTTAAATATTAAACGCATGTTTGCAACTCAAGTACACTAGACATTTATCGATTAATTTTGCTATATATGTGTATATATGTATATATATAATTTGATATCGATATACTTGTACTCTTGCATAGGCTGCTAGGCATAAAAACTTTGACTATAAACAAACAACGCTAAACGAGCGTTAAGACTAATTAATATTGTTAAGAAGAAGAATAATAGAAGAGTATTCGTCTATCGGTTTCACTGTTCAAATTCAGACTTTGTCTCAACGAGTTGAGTTAAGAACTCGCACTTGCCAGCATTTCAGTATTTTGCGATTAACATATAGGTATAGCCAGTAGGTAATATCTCTTAGATATATATATAGGTATATAAATTTGATATAACTGTTTATGGTATATATGCTTTTCTAGGTTATGGTCACGCTTCTGCCTATGGAATAATTCCTTGCCACCCATCGAGTACTACGATAGGTTTTACACTTTCTTAGTGGGTAGTAAATATAAACGACGTTTTTTTTAACAATATTTCGGTGCTAACTAGACAAAAAAAAAAAAAAAAATTAGCTATATTTGTGTGAATCCTTTGGGATCTGTCGTAGTTTAGTTAGTTATTTGAAATATTTAACTATTGTATATATATATTCGATATATATTGTTATAACATGATATTTTGCAGTGATATGGCACGATAATTGTTTCATATGTCGTTCAACAGATGGCGCCACTGTCTGGGCGCTTAGCTCGGCGCGGGCAGCAGCCAGATCAGGCCGCTTGCCAGCAGGGCCAAGGGCGCCACTGCCACGCCCATGGGCCGAACACTCGCATCGTAGGCATAGCCATAGCTATGATGCAGCTGTTTGAGATTGGGACGCGGATAGATGATGTGCACCGGCGGCGGCTGATCGATCTTGTCAAAGAAGTTCGGATCGTATCTCTTGTCGCCCGGCTCGTAGTCGTGATAGATGAGACTCGAGGGATTCCAGTAGTCGCTAATCTCCGCCAGAGCCGCATGCAGTGTGCAGAATTCAGACCGATTAGCAGAAGCGACAAAAACAAATAACAACCCTAGACTAAACTCAGACCTAGAGCACGACCCTGACTCAGAGATGCTCCTAGCTGAATATACCAGTTGCAGTAGTGGAAGGCTCAACAGGAGAGAAGGTCTCTCTCTCTAAGGTCTCAGACCTTGACCCCGATCTAGACCCTTATCTTAAGCTGTACTGGATTGAGTTAGGGGAATTCAAAGTCCAGTCGTCAAATATTTTGTCAATTACCCAGATCATAGCCCCAACTCCTAGATAGACCAAGATGTTGATTATCCCCCAGTGGCACAGCTATGGCTCAGACCTTGTGCTTTGGCCGAGCGGCCTGTAAAAGTCAGATCCCATTACCCGACCTTAATCTGAAACATAACATCTTGGAGCTAGATCAAAAATAAATACATTGTTACGTACGACAAAGGTGAAGCCCAACCTTGACCCAGTTACTCACTCAAGGATCATGATTAATATGACAAGCGTCTAACCCGAACCCAAAATCAGATCTCTTCCAAGCCCGATCTTAGACTGTTCCAAAGGAGATAACAACTCTGACCTAACCCAGAGTCAGATCTCGATCCAAACTTGGAAAGGACTTAACCTTAGCCAAAGCTGACCTGACAAAGTTGACCGAAGAACACGAAACCTCTAACCTAACCCAGAATTAGATCTTGTTCTATGCCTAATCTTCGAATGCACTCACCCAAAGCGTGGAGTTCGACTAAGTCACGAGCGAATCTAATTACCAATACAGGATTAAGGTTGACCTTGACCAGACCCGACAAGACTTTTAATCTAAGCCTTACTACAAATCCAAATCTCGATCCAAACCCAGTCTTGGAATACACTTACGCCCGAGCGAAGGTTAGACCTAGACTTCGAGCCAAGCTACAGCTGGAACTGGAGCTTAAGGTACTTACACGGGGCAGGTATCCACGTTGACGCCGTTGACAGCGGCCTTGCCCAGATTGATCTGGCCGACGGCTTCGCCCTCGACAAAGACAATGCAACCGTTAAAGTTGTGCGTGTAGCGTTTGCCCGTGAAGCTCGAGATGTCCGGTATGCCACCTGCAAAGGAATTGGAATTGGAATCGGAAGCAAAACATGAGCACAGTTCACGAATGGGGGGCAGGGAGATTAAATGAGACTGACCAATATAGACGTTGCCGGGCAGATGCATCTCCTTCTTGCTGGTGGGCCGTGTCTCGCCAGAGTCGGAGATGCGATCGACCTCCAGTATGGCCGTGTTGTCCGCCCGCTTAACCAGCACAATGTGACGCTGTCCATCATCGACGGGCGTGTCCACATTGCGTATGACCACCTCCTCGCCGTCCAGACGCAGCGCATATTCCACAAAGCCATCGACGACGGCCAATGCTATAAAGTCCTGGCCGGTAAACTCCTCGCCAGCGTTCTGGCCCCACCAGAGCAGCAGGCCATTGGGCTTGCTGGTGGAGAAGACGACCACCGCCGAGGTGTACTGCTGGTCCACCTGCGAGCTGAACTGGTTGCGATCCAGCTCCAGATAGCCGTTGCCGCGGAACGAGGCATTAAAGCTCACCTGGATGTCTGTAAGGGACAAGAGCAACGGAGAACGGAATAAGAACGCAGCTCCTCAATCTGCCAGCTCTGGTCACACTTACGCTCCTCGCAGTGCTTGCCGCTGTAGCCAACGCCGCAGGCACAGATCGCCTGCTGCTCCACTTCGGTGCAGGTGCCGCCGTTCTCGCAGGGCTCATTCGCGCAGGGTGACGCCGCAACATAGGGCTGTTGCTCCTCCTCGTGCGAGGAGCCGCCGGCTGGCAATGCTGGCCCGCCCATGGACAGCTGCTCGCCGCCGTCGGTGTCGCTGTCGCCGCCAATCTCGTTCAGTTCGTTGCAGTTCTGCACATTGGCCGCGTCCTTGATGCCCGCCAGCAGCTGAACGGGACGCATCGAGTCGTACAGCCGCGAAATGCAGCCATCGAAGCCGTCCGTTATGTTCACATCCCGATTGATCTTGACCGTCGCCCGATCATAGCCGCCCACATACAGCGGCGTCTTCAGCGAGAGCGTGCGCGGTGCGCCCGCCGCCTTGGCGCGCTGCTCGGTCTCATCGCCCACACGGAGTATGCTCTCGCCCTGGCGACGCAGCAGCTCGACGCGCGTCCATCTGTGCAGCGGCAGCGGATTCTGTGAGCGCACCACCACGGGCTTCAGTCGCGCCGCCGTATTGATGATCAGCTCCACGTGACCGTCGCGCAACACCAGCGCCACATAGTCGCCGCTGGGCAGCTTCGACTCGGCCGCATACAGCAGCACCGCATCTCGCAGGCTGGATGGACGCAGCGACAGGGTCACATTGATGCGCGATACACGAGGTGTGCTGTGGCGAGAGTTTAGTCTGAGTCATTTGTACTTTTAAAGGCATGCCTAGATTACACCTTCCATACTTCTTCTACAGTTAACTATTAAACGTTCAATTGACAATTCAAGTTGATCTTAGGAATAATGGTTTCTAGCCGAGAAATAAGGTTAGAAGTTTCCCTCCTTGTAATATCTAATGAGCTCAGCTTTATTCAACATTAGACCAAAATGCAGCTCCTAACTCTCAAAAGATCTTGTCTAAATTGTGTATAAGAAAATGTGGCAATTTCCCAAAATCTTTTCTTGATATCTTGATAGATATCTTAATATCACAGAAGGATAGATAGATTAAACATACAGCCCCTACTCCTATCCCTATTCCTATCCCTATCCCTATCCCTATCCCTATCCCTATCCCTATTCCTATCCCTATCCCTATCCCTATCCCTAACCCTATCCCTATCCCTATCCCTATCCCTTTCCCTATCCCTATCCCTATCCCTATCCCTATCCCTATTCCTATCCCTATCCCTATCCCTATCCCTATCCCTATCCCTATCCCTATCCCTATCCCTATCCCTATCCCTATCCCTATCCCTATCCCTATCCCTATCCCTATCCCTATCCCTATCCCTAACCCTATCCCTATCCCTATCCCTATCCCTATCCCTATCCCTATCCCTATCCCTATCCCTATACCTATTCCTATTCTTATTCCTATTCCTATTGCTATTCCTTTTCCTGTTCCTATTCCTATTCCTATTCCTATTCCTATCCCTATTCCTATTCCTATTCCTATTCCTATTCCTGTTCTCAATTTTATGTAGGAAATGAAAATCTTTTATATCTAACTGCCTCCTAGAGGGATAGTCCCAGCCCTGTTGGTAGACGTGGGAATTCGACTCACTTGTAGGCCGCATAGCTGTTGCGCTTGAAGTTGAGACTGTGCTCGTTCAGGTGTTCCATGTACTGGCAGCGATCGCCGGTGCGATTCAGCGGGCAGAGGCATTCCATGTCCAGTTCGGTGTTCTCACAGCGTCCGGCGCCGCATAGGCCGGGCGTGCACTGGGTCCCCTCGACGGCGCAGTTGCGTCCGGTCCAGCCATGCTGGCAGACGCAGGTGTAGGCCAGTTCCGTTTGGCTCTCCAGGCAGATGCCGCCGTTGGCGCAGGGTGACGAGGCGCAGGGCTTGCAGCTGGTGATGCCCTCCTTGAATTTGGCGTCCTTCATCAGTTCAATGGTGCGACCCTGGAGCGCGAGCCGACTAATGCAGCCCACGAAGCCCGTTTGCTGAGCCACCGCCTCGGCGGGCAGCTGATCCCAACTGGGCACGCCGCCAATGTAAAGATCATCAATGAGCTCCAACTGTGGTATTTGTGTCAGCGTGGGGAATGCCACCGGATGCTGTTCGTCCAACTGGATGTATCCATCGCGACGGGAGCGATGTACCCGAGCCGTGTGCCATTCATTCAACTCGATCGGCTGTTCCGCACGGACGACCATTGGCTTGCCGCCAAAGTCAAAGCGGAATTCCACATTGCGATCCTTGAGGGAGAGTGCAATATAGTCGCCAGTTCCACGCGTTTGTCCATTGAAGAGCAGCAGACCGTTGGCCGATTCCGGGCGGAAGGTGATCTCAAAGTTAAAGTTGAATGAGGAGTCGGGCAGCGTGGGGAAGCTCATGTAGCTGAGCGGTTGCTGATGGAACTGCGGTATGACGCCAGTGATGCCCAATATGCTTGGATAGTCCACGGATTCGCCATCGCTATAGACGGCGGTGCAGATGTAGCTGCCGGCATCATTGGCTTGCACATCCTGCAGCAACAGCTTATCCTGTGTGACGAGATCAGGTGGAGATCAGTTAGAGAGATGGTGGAGATCAGTTAGGCAAGAAGTGGAGATCAAGAGATCAGTTGAAGATCAGACAGAAGGTGGAGATCAGTTAGGCAAGAAGTGGAGATCAAGAGATCAGTTGAAGATCAGACAGAAGGTGGAGATCAGTTAGGCAAAAAGATCTGGTGAGGATCTGTCTTAGAACAGGTGAAAGGGTTGCCAATCAGTTAAAGATCAAGTGGAGATCAGTAGGACAAGTGGAGCTCGATTAGACATTAGTTAGAGAAAATGTGAAGATCGGATAGACAAGTATATCTGATAGGAACAGTTGCACATCAGGCTGAGATCAGTTAGAGAAAAGTCGGAGATTTGGTTTTGATCAGTTTTAGAACAAGTGGAAACAGTTACTGATTAGTTAAAAATTAAGTGGAGATTAGTTGAAGATCACGAGGAGATCAGTTAGAGGAAACATGGAGATCAGTTAGACAAGGAGATCTGGTGAGGATCTGTTTGAGAATAGGTGGAAATCAGTTACTGATCATTTAAAAATAAGGTAAAGATCGCTTACAGATCAAGAAAGATCAGTTAGAAAATAGGTGGAAATCAGTAAGCTCTCAGGCAAAGATCAGTTAGAGAAATGGTATAGATCAGTTAGCAATCATTTAGATATCAATTAAAGAAAAGGCAGATATCAGTTGGATGGAAGGTAAAGATCAGTTGTACCCCACGATTTTGCTCTACTTACGCTGAGTATATCGCGACCCGGCTGCAGCTGTCCGTATTGGCGTGTCCAGCGATAGGTGGGCTGCCGGCTCTCATCGGCGTCACAGTTCAATTGGGCCCGATCACCCACCTGGGCGTGCACGATCTTCGGACGGCGCAGCTCATGCGGCTGCTCCTCAATGGCCAGCTCATAGCTTGTCGTATACAGATCACCATCATCCGTGCGGCACTTGCACACATAGTTGCCAGCATCCGCGGCGGTCACCTGCACGATGACCAGACGGTTGCCCACTTGCTGTGTCGCGGCAGAGACGGAGAGAGAGAGAGAGTGTGAGAGTGGGTTAGGCCGCTGGCCGGGCGGGTCACTCACCTGTACATTGGCGGAGAGCGGAGCACCATCGGAACGTTCCCAGATCACATCCGTGTAGCTGTTGTCCGAGGAGTAGCATTCGACTTCGGTGGATTCGCCGACGCGCAACTTCGATGACTGCTGATCCAGTTTAAGGCTGTAGTCGCGTGGCACCAGGGGCTCTGGTGGGGGCGTGACCCTCGAAGGCGGCAGATATACGCCCGGGTTGGGCATGCCCGCTGCTGAGCAAAACCATCAAGGGTGGGGCAGGGCACCACCACAAACACAGGGACAGCACAGTAAGCAATAGAGGAAGAGCAGGACGACGACGACGACGGGGACGACGAGTTGAGGATGTTTCGGCGGTTGCAACGTTCACAATTGGCGACAATTCACAATTGGGTTATGTGATGATCAAGTGCACGTTTGTGTGTGTGTGTGCGTGTGTGCGTGTATGTGTGAGCGGTGAGTGTATGTGTGTATGTGTGTATATGTGTGTGTCGGTGTGTTCGTGTTTGTGATGCGGCATTTGAGATGAGTCGGTAAGAAAAATACACAGAGAGAAAAAAGCAGTTAGCAAAATACATGTCAACAATGGCGATTTATACAGATACGTGATGCGATGTATATCGAACGCACGTACGTCAGATCTATCGATAGTTCCGACGCTCGTCTGCGTGTGTGTATATATGTGTGTTTGTATGTGTGTGTGTGTGCGCATTCGATACGCATCACATTTTTTACTTTTTTTTTTAGTCATTTTATGTTTAGAATTTCGTTTCCTAGTTAGACAAATAAATACATAGAAATTTGGTTTGGGTGGGTAAAGGGAATAGAATAGAGCGGTGATATCGATACTAATAGTTACACAAAAAAAAAATACATAGGTATATATATGATAATACGAGAATACACAGCTACACAAAATATACTAAAAATTGCTACTGTTTCGAATCACACTGAATACGAGTACAAATACTATGTGTAATGAGTGGTTGGGTTATGTATGATTGTTCAGTTTGATAGTTTTTTCTTTTCAAATTATTTATGAAAATATTTTGGTATTTTTTCGGTATTTTTTCTGGTATTTTGTTGGTATTTTTGTGGTATTTTCTGCTTATTATGTAACGAATGACAAAAATGGGTTACCATTAGACCAGTACATTTTCATTGACATATACTTAGCTACAAACACATGTTATACAAATGTCGGATATATATGTATATATATCCTGTATATAGGCTACAAATACAATTCAAATTCTACTAAAATATCGTTTACACATGGTTATATCGATAAGATTTTGATGGCAATTTGTTGTTCGATCGAAAGATTTTTAGTTCACAAAAATTTATTCATTTAATTAGGTTTTTTTTTTTCAATTTCAGTATGCTCTGTTATTTGTCTTGTGTGTGTATGTGTGTGTGTTTATTTACAAAATTTTGTTTGTTTTTGTTTTGATCAAAATTGTACATTACTTAACATACAGAGTTGGGTTAGTACAAGTTGGAATACCCACATGCATTGATTAACTCTACAAATCAGATACCATTTGTTTGTTTCAGAGTCGAGCCCGATACCAAAAGTTTTGCTGTACAATTGATGCGGTAAAACGGCATTCGGGTGTTGGGCATGCGCGATTCGCCGGTTGCAAGCACTTTTGTGTTATCGTGTTATCGGTATCGTGTTATCGTTATCGATAACACTACCGTTGCGACTTACGTACTAGCAAAACCTGCGTACAGTCAGATAAGCAGCTACCCACACACACTACTGCAATTTGTTGTTGTTGTTGTTCTTGTTGTTGTTGTTTTTGCTGTTGTTGTTGCAATTGCTTCATCTAAAGTCGTGTTGTTGTTGTCGTTGTATTTATTTATTTTTTATTATTTTGTATCTTAGTTTAAACGTGAGTTGAGTGCAAGTTGCAATTGTTGCAGGTTTTCTCGTTTTGCATCTAAAACTTGTGCGCCTACGAACGGAGTTAGAGGAGCCAAACAGTTGGATAGATAGATAGCCAGATAAAGATAAAGAGCATAGGCAGATAAGGATAGATGGAAAATAGCATGTGATAAATGAAGATACATTTCTTTATGCTGCTGTCAAAGATTAAAACACGAATTTTAACTAGTTAAGTTTTGAGTTCAGTGTTGCCAAGCTGTTATGCGTCGCACAGTTGACATTTAGTTTTGGTGTTGCCACAGTGCAAAAAAAAATTAACAATCAACTTTGACAGCAAGATAAAAATAAAATGGAAATGGGAAATGATAGAGAGAGAGAGAGTGAGATAGGAGAGAGCGAGAGCGAGAGAGATAGAGAGAGAGGGAGCGTAAGTAAGGGATAAAAATACAGTTTGCAGGCTGCAGAAAAAAAGTGTGACAAAGAAATGTGAAAAACTTAAGACGAACCGAAGCTTTTTGCCAGCCGCACAACATGATGCTTTGCCGTCCAATCGCGATGCTTTCGCTGATCCTGTTTCCAAAGCTGTGAGCGCTTCTGCTTGCCGGCGTAGCTCTTCTTCCAGCGCTTAAAGCTGCCCAATCCAGTGCCAGTGCCAGTTCCAGTTGCCGTGCCCGTAACCACGCCCAGACCTGCCCCCGCTCCGACTCCCACACCCGTGCCCGCTGAGGCTGCACCTCGGCTGGCCGTACAGTTGAACTCATCGGAATGATCTGTGCAATCGTAGATGCCATCACAGACCATGCTGGACTTGACGCACGTGTGCGGATGCGAGATGCACTTGAAGTCGGTCGGCTGGCAGGCGTAGGAGATGATCGGGGGACGGGCGGGCGGTGGTGTCAGTGGTTTGGCCGGCGACATTTTGTTCAATTTAAAATCTATTTTGCTCGCAGTGTTATTTTAGCATATGCAGGCGTTTTTTAGATTCGGTATTTTTTTTCCGGTATTTTTCCAGTATTTTTTGTTTGTTTGGTATTTTTCAATAAATATATATATGTATTTGATTTGGTTGTATAAAGAGCATAAAAGAAAAGATTAGCAAAATGACGCCCAATAACACATCAGCCGCGGTTAGTACAAATATCGCCCACTTAATTGCCGCTACTGCGATTACGCATACGCACCGTTCGCCAACGTATTAAAATGAACCTAAGTTCCATCTAGTATCGTGTTTCAACATATACGTTAACTCATCGATATTGTTGATCGAATAATGTGTGCCGTTTATAACAATCGTGTTTAGTATAATTTACAGGGGTAGGTAGCTTGGGGTATCTAGATGAATTGTGCTGTCAGATGCACTACATACCACAAACGACAAAAAAAAAAATACTAACTAAATACTAGCTAGTTATGCGGCAGGCTGGTTGTGCAGTGTCCCCGTGTGTGTGTGTGTGTGTGCGTGTGTTTGTGCTTTTAGTGGGCCAGCGGAGAACCAAATGATATTTTCTTGTTTAGTTTAAAAGATCGTAGCTCGTTTATATACAAATCGTAGGACTAATGTTTAGTATTATAAAAAAAAAACACGGCATTACAGTAATACAAAGGAAGTTTCAATAGATATAAGTAGTATAAATGGAAAAAATAATACACATTATAACATACTAAAGATATGCAAGTGGCTAATTAAAAAAAAAAAAAAAATACTCATACAAAATTATAAAAAATAATAATAAAAAATAAAAAATAGTGTTGGGCTGAAAAATGAATTTCATATGTGATTATTACGCGGTAGCGGTAACACACCTGCACATATATATAAGACCATGCAGGGGAAATCTTGGCCGCCCTTATACAAGCTCAAATTGTACTTATTTGCTAAGGTATTTCATATTTTTTTCGGTATTTTTGCAGTATGTTTGCGGTATTTTTCGGTATTTTTTGGTATTTATCGTTGGTTGTTGATGCAGTTGTTGCGGTTGTCGTTGCAGATGCAGTTGTTGTAGCAGTTGAGTTGATGTTGTTGCAGCATATCATATTTAGTAGAATATATATATATGTATATATATAAATATATAATATATATAAGTATATGTATATATGGTTTATGTATACATGAGCATAATTCGATTTTTGTGTGGTGTTTTGTAGTATTTTTTTTGGTATTATATCATATGCAAAGCGCCCAAAACATTACAAAATTTCATAAGATATATATATATATATATAAATATATGTATATGTGTGTGTGTATGTGTATGTTTTTTTTTTTCATTTTGCATTTTTTTTTTTTTTTTTTTTGCACAAGCGCACATGTAAGAGAAAGAGGGAGAGAGAAGAGAAAAAAGCAGTAAAGAAAGAGAGAAATAAAAAATATTTATCAAATAATTTGATGTGTACCATTCAAGAAAAAAAATTATATGCCCTAAATAAAACTACAAATTCGTTAAACGAAATTCTCAAAAAAGTGTTTTCTCTTATCTGTTTTTTTTTTTGGTATTTTTTGGTATTTTTTTGGTATTTTTATTGAGAAAGAGCTTGGCAGAGCAGCGCGTAGTTAAGAATTTGGAATTTAGAATTGGAAATATATTTGATTTTCGTTTTGCCAATTGGTATTTTGTATAGAACTTTTTCATTTTGGGAAACGTTGCTCAAAATATTAACCTCAAATTAGGTTAGGTTCAGAGTATTTCACGGATTCCATTGCTTTTAAACTGATTTTAACTTATTCAATGCAAAGAGTACAAATATACGAATATCTAAAAACAATTTACTGTGAGACTTTCAACTGGAGATTATTTACATAGTTATAATTGGGTACAGATACATGAGGTTTCTATTCGTATTTTTTGGGGTGCATGTGCAGCTTGTGTGCATTGTGGAAGAGCGGTAAGGGCGGTGGGGTGGGTGTAACGAGGGCGGGCGGAGGAGCGGTAATAGAGCAAGAGAGAAAGGTGTGTGTGTGTGTGTGTGTGTGTGCAGTGCAATTATTTTATTTGTTGATCGATCGACTTTTTATGCATATTAAAACAAAACACTGAAGGATACACAAGAATATCGCCGTTGAGCAGGAATACAAGGAACCATCAAGAAAAAAAGAAAAAAAAAATAAATAAAAAGAACCATTCGGAAGATGAGCACAAGAGAAACCGGAACCAGCACAAAAAAAAAACAATAATCGAGGTAAAGGACAACGAACAAGGTGAATGTAACCGACACCAACACAATGAAAGAGCCCAAAAAAAACATAAATAAACATCGAATGAAACTATAAACAAAACTCAAAGTAAATTTAGAAATCGAAAGATCGATCTTTGGCATGCCAAAGTCTAAATACCCTTGCAGAAGATATCTATAGCTATGACTATATAGAATATCACGGCAGGCAGATATCGGATGCGCCTAGCTAAACTTAGGCAAACATGTGTTCGCATTCATAATGTTCACCATTTCACGTATGTGAACTCTGGGCAGAAGTGCCCGACTAGCAGATACCCTGAGCACAGCGAGAAGCTATTGCTTCCATCTAGATGTATACTGGCTGTGCTGCTTCTTTAACAAGCTTTACAACTTGGCAAATGCATTTGCGCTTAGACTCGGTGCTTATAGTCCGATCGTTTTCATATTTTCTGTGCTGAGAAAAATCGATATGTTATGAATTTATAAATTTCGATAATGAGAATATATATTCTAGAAATATTACACATTTCAAGTCTCTGGGTTTTATTTTGTATTTTCGATTGACGGAAAGCGGACTTGACGAGATAAACTTAGCTGACAGTTCCGTTCAAGAATATATATACACTTTATAGAGTAACAGATGCTTGTGTTCTCTCTGTCACATAAGTTTACACACAATCAGTATACTCCTTTAAGATTGAGGGTATCGTTTCCCAACTTGTTTCTGCACTGTTTTTTGCCATATTTTAAGTTCTAATGCTGTTAATCGTTTTGTTTAAATGTCATAATTACTAACAGTACCTAGTTTGAGCCAAGCTGCAGATGGATCTCGGCAAGGGTATATGCGTGTATATAGATATCTATATACAATTAGAATAGAATGTTAATTAACGAAATAAAAAGAATATGTTACAATTGTTTTTGCTTTACACAAAATTTTTAATTGCTTGTGTAAAAATGTGTGTTAATATTTTCTTGTTGTTGTTTTATTTGTCGAAAAAAAACCACTGCTGGGACTTAAAGCAAGAAAAAAAACCACAGCTGGCACTTATTATTATTATTGTATTAGATATGGCAGCCACTGTTAAGCTTAAGTTTCTTTTCTTCTTTTAAAAATAGTTATGTTTACGTAATATGCGTCAATTGCATTAAAATATATTTATATATATATATATAGGTTTATAAAAAAAAAATAACGTATAGTATTAGAGGGTGGAGGAGGGGGGTTGTGTTTTTTTTTTCTTTTCTTTTCTGTTGTGGTTTATATAAAGTTTAATTGAAAATTGAAAAGTTTTTCCTTCCAGATTTGGTTTCCAACTTAAGTTCATATATTTCAAACGTATCGAAAAGGAATTGTTGGCTGTGTGCGTGGCTTTTTCATCTTCTTTTCTTTTCTTGGGTGTGCGTGTGTACGTGTACGTGAGTGTGTGTGTGTGTGTGTGTGTGTGTGTGTGTGTGTGTGTGTGTGTGTGTGTGTGTGTGTGTGTGTGTGTGTGTGTGTGTGTGTGTGTGTGTGTGTGTGTGTGTGTGTGTGTGTGGTTCGTTTCGTAGGTTCGTGTTTTGTGGCTGTTGGGCATGCATTAACTGTACAAGCCGAGTTAACATTCCAGTTGGTATATTGTTGGTATTTCTGGTATTTTTTTTGGTATTTTGTTTGTGTGACTGTACAAGATGCTTGTGTGGCAGTTGTTTGTTAAAGAGTGTTGACACCGTCACCAGTTTGCCAAAATAATTCAGATACTTATAAGTACATATACAAATATATAAGATATATATATAATAGAGGGAGAGAGAAGGGGTGTGTGTGTGTGTGTGTGTGTGTGTGTGACATGTTTCCATCATTATTGTAGTGGGTATTTTTGTTGTTCTTACAATTAAGAGAGTTACAATTGTTAGTGGCTGTGTTGTTTTGGCTTATTGTCAATATATACAGAGTGTTTGTATACCCTAGAACCGTCAAAACCGTATCCTTAAAAACGTATTTGCTTAATATTGCTTGTGTGAGTGTGTCTGTGTGTTCGTGTGTGTTCGTGTGTGTGTGTGTGTGTATGATTACATTTGTAGATAGTAAGATACTTGGTAAGTTAACAGCTCGCATATTTACATGGAGTTTTATCGAACATTTATCAGTTTTACAGGGTATATAGTAGTGTGTACTTGTACTATGTATATATATATACGTATGTGTGTGCGTTTGTGTTTGCGTGTGTCAAGTTTAGTCAAGTAGTAAATACATACATACACATGTGGATATACATATACATATGGATATATTGGATATTGCTAGACATGTATCTATATAGATATATATATCTATATATATATATATATCTATATATATATATATCTATATATATATAGTTAAAGTAGTGTGATAAGAACAAAGTAAAATCAGCGAGCGAGCGAGCGAGCGTTTCAATCTTTCAATCAGCTCTTTGGTATTCTTTTTTTTTTTCTTTTCCATCTATTTGTTTATTTTATTTTTATTTTATTTTTTTTAATATTGCCAACAAAGCCTAATCCTTACGGAGGTTTTCTTTTAGATGCCTTACAATTCTTTCGATATATTTGATTTTTTCGTATATCTGTTAGTATATGTTTTTTTTTTTTTTTTGGTATTTTTTCTGGTATTATTTTGCAATTGAAATTCTCTGGCCTAAGAAACGTATATAGTTTGGGATCATGTGAGTGTGTGTGTGTGTGTTTGTATTTGTGTGAGAGATAAGAGAGATATTTCAGTATTTCTTTCGCATTGTCGGATCTGACATCTGACATAATCAAGGATATTGTCTATGTGTGTGTGTGTGTGTGTGTGGTTGTGTGTGTGTGTGTGTGGCTTGGGTTTTGGGGCTGGGGCTAGAGATTTACTCACGCTGTACACGCAAATCGATGTAGGTGGAGGGCACACGCTGTCTGGTATTGATGTCATACGAATCGCAGACGTAGCGACCGGCATCCTCGGCACGCAGCGAGGTCAGGATGAGCACCTGGCTTTCGGGACGCGCATTGTTTGGCAGCGGGCGGCCATCCTCGCGGTACCAGTGGAACTGCAATTGGGCATTATTTCCATATATATATATATATAAGAAATGGCTATCTTTAAGATCAAATTATAATTCACCTGAGTATTGCTGCGCTGCTCGCCGCGCTGCGTGGTCACGCTGCAGCGCAGGTGAATGCTCTCGCCCTCGCGGCTCTCCTGCTGCAGCGACTGCGGCTGCTGTGTGTAGAAGGTCGGCGGCCTGACCACCACCTGGGCGGTCTTGCTAACGTTGCCATACTCATTCGAGGCCGTGCAGCTATAGCCGCCAGCATCGGCCGGCGTTATGGCTATGAAGCGCAGTGTGGCTCCGTCAATGTGCACCGAGCTGTTCGAATTACATCAAATTGTTAGTTAAAGAAATGCATGGCTATATTCGGCATTAACAGCTAAAAAGATTGCTCCAGTCGGATGTATCCGACTGGGAGTTACTCTGCTTTAACGTAAGGCTTCTTGCCTTTGCCCTACTACTTATATATCTTGATAAACTTCGATGCTTAGAGTCCGATCTTTAGGAAATTCAGGGATTTATGTACCAAAGCACAGAGCTCTAACTAACGCTTAACGAGAAAGTAAAGATATCTTCGACACACTGAAGATTTGATACCCTTATGCTTTAGCAAATATATGAGATTAGTGAAGCTCGTAAATGTTGAGTTTGATGAAAGTAAGAAACTAAGAAGTTTTTCATACAAGAATCTGCTTTTCGATCGATCGTTTCTAGGGTAACTACATGATATAGAGGTTCGATTTGGGCCCGATCTGTTCCGACATATGTAAGAAAGACGAACCTATGACATGTTTCAAGACGAGAGACAGACGGACCGGCTATATAGACTCGGCTGTTGATGTGTTCGAAGATTCTCCTTCTATGCATTACACAAGGACAAGGTTTATACCCTTATACGGTTTCTTCAATATAGGGAGGAATGGGAGAAGGTTTCCAATTCTAGAAATGGAATATTCTCAATCTGTATTTACTCTACACATCGAGTTTGGTGCAACTAGCTCTTTTAATTTACGAGCTATGCTTAAAAGAGCTTGTTTTGAAATCGATATTTATCGATATTATGTAAATCAAGAGATATCGATTAAAATTAGATTGATGCGTTCACACAGGCAAACAGACGACGAGGCTTTCTTCGAATCATGAACCCAATCAGAACTGTTTTCTTTTGTAGACCTGGCTTGCTGTCAAACAGTTTGAGAAGCTCACCTGGGCAGTGGTCGGTTATTGTCGGTGGCCCAGTGCACGTTCTCGGGCCGGGCACCCGTCACCAGGCAGAGGATCTCCACGTTGCGATCGGCCTCCACTTCGAGCGGTATATTGGGACGGAACGTGATCTGTGGCAGCGGTAGCAGGACCAGTTCTCTAACCACATAGGTCACGACCGTGCCGCGCTGATCGATGGCATTGCAGCGATACTGTCCCAGATTCTGTTCCTCGACAAATGTGATCGTCAGACGATTGCGTTCGGAGTGGGCGTTCGCCAGCAGCGGCTGTCCATCGACACGCGCCCACTGGGTGCTCAAAAACGGTGCCAGGTCACAGGTGAGGGTCACATTGTCGCCCAGATTCGTTGAGAATCTCTGGTTGTTATCCGGGGTCGGGTACGGACGCAATGTGGGCGGCTGTGGGTAATATGGTTGCTGATAGGGATCGTGTTCCACATCACCGTCAGCTGCAAAGTAAAATGAATGTCAAGCAGTGTTGTTAGCAGTTTAACGGCCAGTGTTGGTTAGCCACTTACAGTCACCGATATCGCCGCGCTTGGGCTGCACATCGATGCGTATGGTGCGCTCATCGGTGCCCGCCTCATTGTTGGCCCTGCACGTGTAGACCTTGGCATCGGCCTGGGTCACGCGATAGATATTCAAATAGGCCGTATTCTCGCCCTGTTGCCGGCCCTCCAGCGAGACGGGCTGGTTGTCCCAGTGCACCGTGGGATTGGGCGAGCCGCTGGCAATGCACGTAATGCGCACCTCATCGCCCTCGGTGTAGCGCACCAGCGACTTGTCCGGTTCGATTTGTATAATCGGTGGCTCAACCACACGCAGCACGGCAATGCCGGTGGTGCGTCCAACGGAATTCTCAGCCACGCACTCGTATTCACCGCCATCGGCGATCTGTATGTCGTCAATGCTGCAGGATTGCGAAGGATTAGCACACTCTGCTGGCCAAATGTATGGAGATTTACTTACAGAATGTAGCCGGGGCTGACCAGCCTGTGTCGGGGCGAGAGGGGCGTGTCATCGATGCGGCGCCACTGCACCGTCGGCTCGGGTATGCCATTGACGGAACAGTAAAGCATGCCCTGGGCGCTGACGGTGAACGTCTGTGGCGCCGCCGGAATTATATCAACGCTCGGACGCTCCCGAGCTGCAAGCAAGTAAATTATGGTGGTTGTACAGATTAGTATTAGGATCAGACTGTGCGGACCTATCTTATTACCGACTCCATTCTTGTGCACTTGCAATGCATAATCAAAATATATTTAAATATCACATTTGTATAATATGGTTAAAAATAAATATCATTTATGCGTTCATTACGTTACCGAGTTTTTTGATTGAGTGGCAAGCAGTTAACAGGAAGAAACAGATCAAATAGAAATATTATGCACTCAAATTCTTTGGCTTTGCAGTCCATCAACTGGTTTAGACTATAGCCCGAAGAGCTTTATCTTCCGCTGAGAGCGTCCTTTCTTGCCAGCCTTATGTTGGCCGTTTTTGGCTATCAAGTAGAGCTTTAAGCGCAAATGTATTTATTTTTAGCTTTTAGTGTAGCTTTAAAGCTCAATTCGGGACAAATTCAGACCTTCTGGTAGAGCTTTAAGTGCAAACACTTTTATTCAAACTTTCAAGTGCAGCTTTAAGTTTCAACTCTTTAGGATATGTCCAAATGACAAAAGTATTTTGAAGCTTGTAATGATTGAAAGCTGCCTGTAAGCTCTTGGAGGTCAGCTTAAACAACATGTTTTAAAGTTCGTCTAAAAGCTTAGAAACTAACGTTATTAATGAAACCTTTTAGAAGCTTTTGGCCAGGCTTAGAGGTAAAGCATAAAAGCTCGACCTGAAAGCTTATTCTAGCCATTTGTAGATTCAGGTTGAGCTTTAAACAGAAAGAGTTCGAGATCATCTTAAGGCAAAGCTTTAAAGCTAATCTGAACTCAATTAATGGTTTACCTTTTTAATAGAAAGCTTAGCGAAAGAAAAAAGCTCTCTATAGCTAAACAAGATGATGGCAAATACCAACAGCTGGACATTAGATATATCATATAAATATATAGTCACGATTAGGGAGCATATATAGTAGAGAGAGACTTACGTTCAACGTCGATACTAGTGCTGGACTGATCTGATCCGTGTGGATTTTCGGCGGTGCAAACGTAGACGCCGCGATTATCGGGTATGGCATTGATAATGCGCAGCACATTGCCGGTTTGATGGACATTGGCGGCCATTGGTTCGCCGACCTTTATCCACTTGATGTTGGGATACGGTGAGCCGCTGGACTCGCAAGTAATGCTAAAGTCGGTGCCCTGATCAATGGAGGTCTGATCGTTTAGTCGCACAATACGGGGCGAAATGCTGCAGAAAGTAAAGCAATAGATAAGTTAGTTAATAAGTTTGTTCAGATTGTTCGACGACAGATTGCGTTCTCCCTTAACTCTACACTCTACACTATGCTAAATGCATTCTTGATAAACTCGGTGCTTATCATCCGATCGGATTGAAATTTTGTACGGTGTGAGTAACAAAGAACAAGACTCTGTCTTCAAAAATTAATTGTTATTGGGAAAAAACATGGAGATTTACCCAACTTGCAAAGTAAACAACGTGTTAAAACAAGTTGGCAATTTTTAAATAGCTGTCTCTGGCTCCAACAAGCTACGAAGCATGTTTTTGATATCGATTTTGATCGAGTTATCGAAGTTTTTATACATCCACACTAAGCGCGAGCGAGCGATTTAAGTAGCTGGAGCTTAAAATTCTCGAGCTAGACTTATTCAGACATACGGACGAACAGAGAGAGCGAGAAAAAGCGAAAGAGAGCGAGAGAGAGAGAGAAATGGCTCAATCTGACAAAAAACATATATTATGCTAGATAAGAATAATATTGCCAAATATCCAAACCTCGTGCAAATTGGATCAGATTTGAACGAGTTATGGGTGTGGGAAACTTTGAACTATGTCTATGCGATATTTGAATTTTGACCAGGAATAATATTGCCATATTTAGTCTGACTGACTCAGGACAGTTTTATATATGGAGATGGAAGTTAGATTGGAAGCTGTCTGCTTCATGACAAAATTGTAATATCTAAACTGGAAAATGAAGGATTGAACTTATTCCCAAAAATGAAGCCCGCATTCCGTAAAGTATTTTGAACACTTGCAGCGGAGCTGTGCTTGCGCTTACCCGTCGCCAGAGGGCGGCAGCTGACGCTGTTCAATATAGACGCGTGCGTCCTCCGTATAATTGCGACGTGTGCGCAAATCAATGCCGACGCAGGTGTAAACGCCGGAGTCGCGTCCGGTGGCATCACGGATCTCGAGCATGTCGCCGCTGATCAGGATGTTGCGCTGGCCGTTCAGTGGATAGCCGTCGTGCAGCCACTCGTAGTGCAGCTGGGCGCCGCTGGTCGATTGGCAGGTGAAGCGGACAGTGTCGCCGGCCTCGCCGTTGTACTCCTCCGGCTGGATGTAGACGCGTTCGCGAACCGGCGGCGGCGGCTGTGGTGCATTGCCACGCACATAGACCTGGACGTATTTCTCATCGGAATCGTATTGGTTTTGCGCCTGGCAGCGGTAGCGTCCCTCGTCGGATTTGCGCGGCGATTCGAAGATCAGGCGATTGCCATCGGTGCGCATGTGGCCATCCGCCTGGCCATCGATGCGCGTCCAGGTGACAGTCGGTGCGGGATTGCCCTCGACCTCGCAGCTAATCTCGTTCGTTTGATACTCCTCAAAGGTCACCGTGCTGGGCAGATTGACGATCTGCGCGGGCGAGCGTTGCGATTGATCTAGAGATTGAGAGATTGACAGCAGAAATGATTAGCATTAGGCGTGAGCTGATAGACCAAGACGCATCCTCAATAGCTACCATAGCGTGCCAACATTTCGCTGGCATATCCTTGAGGCGATTGCCGCAGTAACGAGTTAGTATAAGAGATTAGCTTAATTCTAGTTGCGCTAGCCTAATGTTAATGTGGACACTCACTTGATATGGTGATCGAGACCTTGTCCTCGAAGACGCGCGAGGTCTGATTGTTGACCGCCTGACAGATGTAGACGCCAGAGTCGGCGATTTGCAGATTATACAAATGGAGGACGCCGCCCTCGATCTCGGCTGTGTTCGGCAGTCGGCTGTTCTGCTTGTACCAGCTGACAAAGACCGGATCCTGCAAGGTAGACACAAGGCAATCAGTCTCGATCAATCAATACATCATTTCCATTCACTTACATTATTCCACTTCATGCGACCGTTGCAGTGCAGGGACATGGATCCACCCACGGGCATTATGGTGATCTGTGGCTTCGATATCGACACTATGATCTGGGTGCGTATATTATCGGGCTGATCGGTTGGCGCTGGCTCCGGTGTTCCATAGTCTGATTGATTGTAGAATTATATCGATTAGATGTCAAGAATCGGTTCACATATCAATTACACGTTAGAAATTCAACTCTTTACAATTTGGATTAGTGACACGGTTGCGGTTTATTAACGCTGGAGGTTGGGCTTGGGAGGAGATTTGATTTTCTTTTTTTTTTTGGGGGGCTTTTTTTTTTTTGTATAGGGTATAGCTTCCAAGTACGCATAGTTTTAGGCACCAACTACTACATAGGTCATATACCAAATGCCAGCTAAAACTGTGTTTTAACCAGCTCAAGAGTACACTACAATAGGTTTCACATAAATATCTATATATCTATATGTATATATATATATAGTATCTTTATAGTACGAGATACATCCGTGATCTTAACTCAAGGTGCGTGTAAATTTGGGGCTTCTCTTGTAGAGTTTGGTTAGTACGAGTAGCTAAATTTATAACCGACTACTTGACAGCGACAGCGATTTCTAGTACTAGAGAGAGTATTCAAAGTTTATTTATTTGTATTTTCTCATACCCTTGCAGAGCGAATTATACTTTTGTAACAAAGTAGACTACTGAAAGGCAGATATACTCCTACTTATTTCTATAAAGTTCGTCAAGAAACTTTGTTGGCGTTCGTCTTTCTGTTGCAGGCAGCACACATGTCGAAATCGTTCGGATCGAACTACTATATCATTTAGCTCTTATAGGAATCATCTTTTGGCTATATAGCTCTTGTAATTATTGCCTAGATATCGTCAAGAAACTTCATATTTATGCGAACTACCACGTTAGAAATCAAATGTTATCAAGATCGTAATACTATATCATATAGATCTATCGGAATAATCGGTAGTAAAATGTGTTTAGGTTTGTTTTTCAACAGCATCCAATCGGACTACTAAATCGTATAACTCCTGGCTAACAATTGGCCCATCTGCAAGGGTATTTAATCTACGGCTTGCCGCGGATAGCTCTTTTTTGTACTTTGCCTACAATACGAGTAAATGTTTATACACAGAGTTATCGAACTATGAATACATAGCATAGCGATGAGACACACAGATTTTCTTTATACACAAACAAAATACATTTTAAAGAGGTGCTAGAAAAAAAAAAACTAAAACAAATTAAACAACAACATGGGAGTAGAGTTCAAGTCTAGGTTTCTAGAATTATTCAAGAGCACCGAAAAATAAATAACGCTGAGCGATTGAGCTATTACAGCGCTCTGCGGACAGAAACACATAGTAAGAGAAAGGGAGAGAGCGAGAGAGAAAGAGAGGAAGGGAGAGCGCCTACAACAGTGTATACACTAAAGGAATGCGCACAGAGCAAGTGAGAGTACACAGCCACAACAACGCAGGGTTGCATTGCCTGATCAGCACAAAACGAGCTGGCAACACCGCATTCGTATTTTAAAATGCCGTATGGCAACCTTGTTGCTCCTTTTAACTTCGTTTGATGTAGTTATTTATCACTTGTAAATTAATTGATTAAGTGCAAATATATCTTTCCATTCGAATCAAATCTAAAAGGCTTGAAGAGCAGCATATTTTTATCCTTTTATTTTATATTAAAATATATATTGATATAAAAATAAATAATCAAAAAACAAAAATTAGCTTTTAAACTTTTTTTTAAAATTTAGCAAATATGAATTTGAATCACATGAATTCGCCAATTTGGAATGTATTATATCAAAGTTGCAGCAATGTACGCACTCATCTTTTTTGCACAGTGTAGTGAATTCTTAGCTAGTATGAGAACAATTGAGTAATTGACCAAATGATACTTGAGTTAAAGAGCACATTGGTTGGGAGTGGGGGGAATATTAGGAAACGAATGTCTAACAGATGGAAGTGTGAGCACGTAAAATATGTGAATTGACTTGTGGGTAAATGGATTTCACTTTCATTTTTTTTATTTTTGCAGTGTAAGAGTAGTTTACAACAGCTGGTAAAGGGTAGACAAAGGCAGAGCGATAGAAGAGACAGAGAGAAAGAGAGAGAGAGAGAGAGAGAGAGATAGAGAGAGAGAGAGAGAGAGAGAGAGAGAGTGGTAGTTGTTGTTGTTGTTTGTTTGTAGTGTTTGTTTGTTTGATTGATTGATTGATTGATTGATTGACTGATGATTGGCGAACCTCGCTGATGGCAGCCGTGGCGCAGTTTGGTTATATTTCCTATAACTCTGTTGCCCTTAATTATCTGTAGAGTGTCATTATACGATATTGTCTCGTTGGGCTCAATATCGAACCGAAAGCCGTTGCAACAGAATCCCCTGCTTATATCGCATATCTTGGGCGGTTCTTCAATAATGCGAGATGTGTCTAGAATGTGGATGGATTGGATGTTTGTTGTGATGATTTCGTATATTTTTCTCGAATATATATGATCGTAGAATTTTTTGTTGTTTTTTTGTATATTTTTTTTTAAAAGTTTTTTTTTTTTTTTTGGATGTGGACGGATGTGTGGTGAATAAAAAATAAAGTTGAAAGATATGTAGAAAATTGTATATAAAATGAGAGAGATCAGCTACTTAGCTTAAAGTAAGAGAGATATATGTATAAATATATATGGATAAGAGCTTTGAGACAGCGAGAGAGGGAGACGGAGAATGAGAGAGAGAGAGAGAGAGGGGGGGGGGGGGGGGGGGGCGCGCGGGAAAAGCATAGATCATAAGAGCTGTGGATCATGAATCGATTGTGTTCAAAGAGAACAATGCGTGGGTTCTGATTGGCAGGGCAGGGAGTCTGGTGCCCATTTCGACCAAACTTCATATTAATATATTTATTTATTTTGGTTTTTTCCTGCATATTTTCATTATTATACTTATGCTTGGAGCAACTACTCACCGAAATCCTGGCAACGATCGCCTGTGAAACGTGCCTTGCACTGGCATTCGACATAGCCGCTGCTGCCGAGATAACAGCTCTCCGTATTATCCTCCTGGCAGGGACAGGCACGACACTGTCCACTCTCTTCACGGTAGTGCAACGGGGCACAATTCTCGCACGAGTTGCCCGTATAGGCAGCTGGGCACTGGCAGAGCTCAATGTCGATGGCTTGCTCGGCGCCCGGCTGCGCCAGCTCCACAGATAATTCCCATGTCACGTCGCTAATGGAGGTCCGTGTGGTGGGTATTTTGGGTGTGGCACGTATCAGCAGATGCTCCAGGTTGGTCAGCACGCTCATGATGTCGCTACGTGTGGCCGGTACGGCGCTGCCGCTATCCAAACGCTGCCACTGCTCCTCCTCGCTGAGCCGGACACTGTACTCATCGAGATGGGACTCAACGGCCGGTCGGGACCAGACCAGGCGTATGCCATTGCCAATGAGCACCACATCGTTACCGGGCTCATAGTTGCCGAACGATTCCGTGATCAGAGTGTAGTTCAACAAGCCGCCATAGGCATGCAGCTGATTGCCCTGGACATTACCGCGCAGACTCCAGTATTTGGGCGAATACGATTGGTATGTGTAGGTGTACTTATTGTTGGGTATATCCTTGCTCAGATTCGTGTCATCCATCTCCATCTGTTGGCCGTATTCGTCGGTGATGAGCGCCTTGTTGCTAATAAAGTCCACGGCAATCAGCTGGCGATAGACGGACGCGGAGCGGCATTGTGTCGCCTGGCCCGAGCAGTAGCATTCCTTGCAGCCATCCGGATGTAGGGGCGACAGACCGAAGGTACCCTCGCGGCACTGATCGCAACGACTTCCCACCACATTCCGCCTGCAGTAGCAGACGCCACCGCGGCAGTCCTCGGTGCCGTCGCTGTTGCACCAATGGCAACCACGTTGATTGTCCGGCTCCGGCTGCGGCGGCTGTGGTCCATTGTTGTCCGGCTGGCAGTCATAGGGTGTGCCACGGCTGGCATCACCAATATAACCGCCGGCACAGCGCTCGCAGTTCTCGCCCTCGGTATTGTCGGCACAGTTCTGTCAATGATAAGAGGAAACGTCGTCAGAAGCGGGCCAAGGTTTTAAACAATTGTCTTCAGGGTTGAAATAGTTTGAAAACGGAACCCTCATATTGGGGAATATCGGGAATATCCTTTCTATCTTTACATACACTAGTTCTATTTTTGAGACAACCTTAACTTCCATTCAAAATAATCGTTTTACACTTAAACATGTAGGTTATAGGTAGGTCTAGCTCATGCCAAGGAGGAGCGTATTAAATATTCACTACCCTAGACTTAATCCTGCTACCTTGCACTACCTGATGCTACCCTACACAATCTTCCAATATATATGGTAAAACTTATATAGGAAACTAGTATTCCATTGAATACACTATAGGTCATCCACTAAGAGCGTTCAGTTTTGCTCCACCTGCAGTGTGATATGAATCCTGGCCTGCCGGGATCTTCCGTTGCGTGACCCCGTCGTTTAAGCTACTTCACACCCTCGAAGCCAGTTGTTGTGCTGCACTTACCAGGCACTCGCCAGTTTCGGCATCGCATTGGGTGGAGTGGCCATTGCATTCGCAAGGCTCGCACAGGCCCAGATAGAGACCCTCCTCAGGATTGCGTTTGTAGCCGGGCGCACAGCGTTCGCAGGAGAGTCCAACGTAGCCCTGTGGACAACGGCATTCCTCAACCTCGTAGGCGCGCTGAGTGCCCAAATTGTTGGCGGTGGCAATGTCCATGACGACCTGCTTGAGGGAGCCCTCCATGGTGCTGGTCGTGTACGTGGCCTTGATGTATATGGCATCGATCTTGCTGAGCGCCATCAGCAAATGCTCGCGATTGGCCACTTGGCCATCGATGCGCTGCCAGGCGCTCTCAATGATGGGCACCGCATACGAGCTGGACGTACTGGGGCTGACGGCCGATTTGCGATAATGGATAAGGGTTAGATCCTCGCCGCTCTTGATGACCACATCGGGTGCACTGTTGCGCGACATCTGACCGCCAGGCAATGGACTGTAGCTAAGCGTATAGTTGAGGCGTCCGCCATATGCGGTCAGCTTGTTGCCCAGGAACGGTACGGGCAGGCTCCAGTACAGGGTGTCGGCACTGTAATCCGAGCTGGACCTGAAGCTAATCTCGTAAGCAAGCGTATCGAATGGCACGGGCTGTGGCGTCACGCGTGTATAATCGCGCACCAGCTGGAAACCGTGCGGCGCACGGGAACGTCCAAAGCTGCTGCTGACCTGTTCGCGATTCCAAGAGGTGCTGGTACAGTCCGCCTGCAGGCCACTGCAGAAGCACTCAATGCAGCCGGTATAGGTGAACGAGTTCAGGTGGAAGCTCTTCGGGGCACAGCTGTCGCAGCGATCGCCGGTGACCAGGGCCTTGCAGTGGCAGCTGCCATTGCTGTATTGGTTGTAGGTGCCCTCCACGTTGCATGTCGACTCGGGTGTTCGGTGGCAGGCACCGCCAGGTGCCAGCGGATTACCCTGATAGCCGGCGGCGCAGCTCTCGCAGCGTCTGCCAGTATAGCCTTCATAACAATTGCAGATGACATCGCCGTCGGGACTCAGCTGGCAGCCGCTGGCAAAGTTGTTGCTGCCGCTCTGGGGGCAGGGGCAATCGCGGCAGGGCACACCACGGCGAGGATCGCCATAGGTGCCGGCCGGGCAGGGCTCTGGCACAAAGGGTACACAGCGACCCAGCCAGGGACCGCCCGGCTGGCGTACATAACCCGGTGCGCAGCTCTCACACGAATCGCCAACATAGCCCGGCGGACAGTTGCACTTCTCCACAAGGGAGGCGCTGCCCAGACCCTGATCCGAGGTGCCGGCCGAGTCCATGGCAATGTTGGTCAGCTCCACCTCGCGCGCCACAGCATCAATATAACCCAAGCGTATCAGTATATTATCCACATTGGCCAATATCATCATGATCTCCTCGCGTGTAGCCTTGCGTCCGTCGGGCTTCTGCCAGGTGCCGGGCAGGAAGCTGATCCTCACCTTGTTCGACTGATTGGGCTGGGTGCGCACGCGATTGGTCAGTATGAAGCCGTTACCCGTGATGATGACATCCGGTCCGGAAAGTGGACGCCCATTGCCCAAATAGCTGATCTCATACTTGAGCTCGCCACCGTAGGACTTCAGCTGATTGCCCATATACTCGCTGGGCAGGGCCAAATAGGGTGTCTCGCGACTGTTGTACTGAACATCGGAGGCACGGAACTGAACGCCATGGTGCATGGTGAGCAGGCTGTGTCCGGTGCCCTCGTTGATCACAATCTGCTGATAGGGGCTCAGATCGACGCTGACCACGCGATGCGACAATATGGGCGGTTGTATGGCATAGCTGAAGAGATTGGCGCTCTCGCAGGAGTTGGCGACACCAAAGCAGAAGCACTTGATGCACTCCTCACTGGAACGGGCCAGCATGTTGAAGAAGCCAGCGGCACAGAACTGATTGCGATCGGGTGTCACCTTCACAATGGTATCGGGCACCACAAAGTGGGTGCCGCGCGTATTTATGATCTCGCAGGAGTAGGCGCCGCTTTCCTTGTACTGCATATTGGGGCAATAGAGATCGCCGCGGCCGCCGGCGCTGGTGGACACACACTTGTCGGGCACATGACCCCAGTTGAGGCGCCAAACAATTGTCGGTGTGGGCACACCCGTTGCCGTACACGTCAGATTGAGGGCCTGACCCTCCAGCAGAGATTGCATGGGTGGCGGTGGGCGAATGGGCACGGGCGCCACTGTAATGGAAGTTAATGAATATCTATTGTGCTCTGTGGGCATGTGTCTACTTACTGCAACCGAACTCGTCGCTGCCGTCGCGACAGTCGTTGACATCGTCGCACTGGAAGCTCTTGGGTATGCAATGGCCGCTGGAGCATTGGAATTCATTGTAGCGACAGGGCGCACCGCTGGGCTCGGGATCGCAGGACTGCTCATCGGAATTGTCACCGCAATCGTCTTCGCCGTCGCAGCGCCAAGTGCGCTCCACGCACTTCGAGTTGCTGCACAGGAACTGGTTCGGCTGGCATCTGCGTCCCTGGCTGCAGCTGTGCTCATCCGAGCCATCCGAGCAGTTGGGCACACCATCGCATATATCCGACTTCTCAATGCACTCACCGTTCATGCAGGTCGCCTGGTACTCGCTGCAGGCTGTTTGCGGGCGATCGTGTTCGACAGTGTTAACTGTGGAATAGAACAACGCCAGGAAAATGTTATAGCAAGGTACTTTCAAATTTTGCACATAAACCATCTTACCAATAAAGTGGCCAGGCGGCATTGGGCATAAGAGAGAGATTGTGTATTAGCTAAAGATCTATCTACGTTCAGGAGCTGGAGTTGGTCTAGGCTCTATAGAAAATATTACAACTGACAGACTGATTGATTGATTGATTGATTTTGAATTTTAATTTATAATGAAAAATGGATGGAAGACACACTTTTGCTTTCAACTCTTTTTTAAAGATATGTATATAGGCGTGTTTTACAACATTCGGATAATCCATCAAACTGGGATGAAGATAAACGCGGGCTTATCCAAGGGTTGGAAAATGGGTGTAAAGTTAGATTCCCAATAAATAAATAAAAATCTGGATCCGTATAGTACCGGGGTATCGTGAATATTGTTATTATTTTTAGAAAGCACAAGACTCTCATCAATAAGTTCTTAAATTTGCGAATTCCTGACTATAAATATAGACCTGAGTGTATCCCGATTTTCACTATAAGATCCAGAGCTAAGTCGTCTGGGTTCAACATGCCTTAGTCATGTTGAACACTTCTCAATAGACCTAGTCCAGCTCCGTATGTTGCACGTTTTTACCTAGACCAAAGAACTCGAGATCAATATGCGGCACAGTGCCGTATTTGATGCGATTCGATTTGGGCTCCTCGTATTTGTGCTCGCCCCAGGCTGCGTCCAAGCGTATTCATTGCGAAAGAGATCATTGAACAAGAAAACCCAAAACCAAATTCCCAGAAAGCATATCGAGAATTACTTGATAACGTTACTTACAGCGTTCGACAGTCAGGTGGACGGTGACTTGTTGACCCTGGACGTAGCTCGGATAGCCAACAGCTTCGCACACATAGGTGCCAGAGTCCTCCAACTATAAATGTTTGAATGCAGGATTTAGTATGCTTAAAGTTAAGATTTTCAAGAGCCAAACTTACGCGTATGTTGGGTATTTCCAAGCGTCCGCCCTTGTCGGTGAAGCCCACGGGCAGGGGACGACCGCCGGGACGTGACCACCTAACCTTGGCGCGGGCTGGACCCTCGTCACGGCAACGGAAGATGACCTCGCGTCCTGCATGCCACAATAATTATCATTAGCCAGGCATAAGCACATTTATATATATTATGGAGTATACACATATCGGGAGCATTGCGAGCAAATTACTGGATCTATTTGGGACTATTATACATATCGCTGCGGGAATCGTGGTTTTTTTTTGGGGGGGGGTTGTGTGGTTGGGAAAGGGGGAATTTACAATTTGCGTTTGTGGTCTAAGGTTTCTAGCGGGCGGGTGCTGACAAAACTAATAATACGAATTTCGACAGAATTGTACAACGCCGGACCTGTAGCCAATTTGCTGTGGTGCAGTGGTGCAGCGCGGTACGAGACGAGTGTCTAATATTTATATTGTGTGTGTGTGTGTAGTTAGGCCAACTTACCCTCCCTAATATATCCTGCAGGTATTTAATTTATGGGTTATGTCATTTTGGTTGGGTTAAGCATTAAAAGTAATGGTAGAACATTATGTAGAGTCAAAAAAACGAATGGAAACAACAACAAAAAAAAAAAAAACAACGTTCTTCTTCGGATGCGATCGAAGCTTAGTTAAAGCCTTGCAAAAGAAAGATCCACTGCCAGAGTAACTGATTTATCGATATTTGTTATCGATTACAGACCAGGAGTTATCGGTATCGTTGAGGCAATTAATCGATAACAGACAACGCGCTTTTTATATCGCTAAAGATAGCAGGCAACAAGTTATCGATACCATTTATCGAGAGTATGTAAAGAGCTATCGATACCGAAGGTATCGACAAGGTATCAATACCTTTGATCGAAAGCAGACTAGCTATTGATATTATTTATCGATCGCAGACGAGTTATCGACACGGGTTCATCAGCATCACATTATGCCATGTTGTTTATCGAAAGCAGACAACAAATTATCGATTGCTATCGATAAAAAATCAAAATTCATTCTTTTGCGAGGCATTCTTTAAGTTTGCTTTTCAAATGACTTTGCCTTTAACCATGTTAAACATAAGCAACTATCACCGTCGAAGGACAGATCCATACTTACTTTCTTTGATGATCTGGCTATCGGGATAGGTCTTCAGGTTCAGCTGATTGCGTCCGGCTGGCGACGGGTCGGAAACTGCCAAGAAAGAAATGGAAATATTCCATGTCAGCACAGTGTTAAATATTGCACAACAAAAGCATAGTTAAAGGTCAGTATTATGGGTGTTATCGAAAGAATAGAAAATATATATTATATTATAATTTTAATAGCACTGCGGCGCCCTTATTCGTTTAGTACGCTTTGGTCGATGGGTTAGCTTGAGATTGTGAATTATAGTTGTTGGTAGTTGTGGTGGGGTTTTTTTTTTTTTTTTTTGCTGACACCGTTTTGTTTGGGTTCGGTTGACGGGTCGATAACCACTTACTATCGATCTCATTAGTGATGGGCTCACAGTCCAGCTCATCGCTGGCATCGAACGGACAATCGATAACACCATTACAGCGCAATCCGAGCGCCAGGCAAGGACCGTGCTCACACCGGAACATGCTCGGTGGGCAACTGTTGCGCTTTCCACCCATCGACATCGTTGTGATGGGCACCACAGTTGTGGTTGTGGTTGTGGCTGTTGTTGTGCTGCCTGTTGCGGATCTGCTGCCAGCTAAATGTTGATGAGCGCATATTGATCAATGATCAATCATGATGATAATGTTGATGGTGATGATGATGATGATGATGGTATTGTCGATGATGAAGCAAGCTGCTTGCCTTTGCCCAAGGGGCCAAGTCGGAACCGGCTACTTACCACAATTGTGCTCATCGGAGCTGTCCTGACAGTCGGTCTTGCCATTGCAGCGCAACGCCTGGTGGACGCATTGGCCGTTCCGGCAGCGGAACTGGTTCGGCTGGCATTGCATTATATCGCAGTTCTCCTCGTCGGAGCCATCCATGCACTGGGTAAAGCCATTGCAGACATCGGTCTGAGATACGCAGTCGCCATTGCGGCAACGGAACTGATCCGCAGCGCAGCCTGTCAAAGTTATGAAAAAATCAGCAATTATTAACTGGCTTTTGGAGCAAGATCTTTTCGGATCTCTCTACAGCTGGAAGCTAGACACTTTAGAGAAAAAAGGAAGGTATAATATATAAAGATATAGTCAATTTATGTTTGAATAATCAGAATTGAAAACAAAGTAATTTTCTTTGCAAAGAGTGCATACACATGTGTAACTCGTAGAACTGGCTTAAACTGGGACTAGAATATGTTGAAATTTTTCTTTTTTTTATCAGTTAGCATGCAATTGGCTTAGATAGAAACTAGGGAGAATACAACTAGAACTAAAGACTACTAACTACATTACGGGGGATATAGGCAAAATGTGAGCTTGGAATAATTTGCATAAAATATTATTAACCAATACAGTTCTGTTCATCGGAAAAGTCTTTGCAGTCGTAGAAGCCATCGCAGTGCTGTGTTGCATTTATGCAAAACTGTCGATCGTAACAGGAAAACTCGTTATCCTTGCATTGAGTACCTGTTTTATTTATTTTTGTTTAAATTTATTCATAATTAAGTATAATTGGTGCAATTTTGCCAACACAAATTTGGTTAAAAGCGAAAAACCAAAAACAAATAGAAACACGTGAGAGATAGGTAAGAGAGAGAGAGAGAAGAGAGAAAGAAAGAAAGAGAGCACAATAGTGTACATTGCATTTAGATAAATTCATATTAAAGGTGAATGTAAGCCAGTGACACAGTAAGAGAGAGTGAAAGAGAGCGTGGGTGTGTGAGAAAGAGAGTGAGAGAGAGAGAGAGAGAACAACATTGATCAGCAACTTAAAACATTAAGCAATACGATTACATCCATCAATAACTAACTCAAGGTGCCTGTACCATACAAGAAATATAAATAAAATCAAGTAAGAGGTTCTAGTCGGGAGCTCCCGACTAGGGGATACCCTGAACCCTCTTCTTCCAACATCAAATATATATATATATATTCTATTTTAGAAGCTATATGTCAAGTTTGGTGACTCTAGCTCTTATTATTTACCAAAATTGCCCAAAAAACAGGATATCGATATCGATTTTTATCGATTGCTTGGAAACGGAGTAAGTTATCGATTATCAGAAACAAACTCGATCTGCGCGGGAACTAGGAGCACCTACATCTAAAATTCATCTCTAGCTTTTATAGGTTCTGAGATCCTTGCGTTCATACATACTGACGGACAGACAGACGGACATGGCTAGATCGACTCGGCTACTGATGCTGATCAAGAATATATATACTTTATGGGGTCGGAGAAGCTTCCTTCTGCCTGTTATATACATTTGGATTTTGCACAAATACAATATACCCTTATACCCATTTTTAATGGGTTCAGGATATAAAAACTAACTTTTAAAGTTAAAGCCTTGCGCTTTTGTATGTACACAGTTTTGAATAAGCCCTAAAATTTTCATAATGATCAGCACCGAAGTTAATCAAGAATGCTTTTCCCATACACAGAGTGGGACAAGCAAGGGTATCTCCTCGTCTGTCACTTCTATTCGTCTTCATACACAAACTTAAAATGATTTTTAATGAATATTTAAAAAAGCTGTACCAAACATTGTTCCACTTAGAGTGAAAGCTTTGAACTTTTGGTTGCCGAAGCTTAAATACCCTAACAGTAAGAATTCAAAGGAAGTCCCTAGCATATGTTAAATAGATTGCATCAAACAAGCAAAAGTTAGTTGTAGCTTAGAATGAAGCTGTTGTTTTTTTTAAATATGACATATTGTTAATAATTTTATAAAAATTGTGGTTTAAAGTATGCATGAAGATGATGTACATTGAGGAACTGTGTTCAGTTCGCGAAAGAATATTCCAATGGCAGCTTTATGATATGTTAGTACAATAATGTCAATATGATTTAGTTGAGATGTGGGGCTCGACTTTACTGAGTTTAACATATATCTACCACTTTTTACAGATAGATAGACGGAATCGGTTTGAATATTGTCATATTCCCTAACAAGTGTAGAGTATTTAAGCTAAATACAACTTTCATTAAGCATGTGCTTATTTGGCAAGTATTTTGTTCTTAATTTCTTTTATTGCTTTTTTTTTTTATTAAGTTTCTGTTTTGGAATATATTGAAGTGCATTCAAGAATAAAATGTGCTTGATATTTGGATTTAAAACTTTTTTTCTCGCTGAAATTGTTTTTCGCAGTCATTTCAAGAATCCTAACGATAATATATTTCGCCAGCTCTTAGTTCCTTTCTATGCAAAGCTATATTCCGTTTTGGATTCCACATATCTTTATGAACCTCGGATCGCAACTAAATGTTCCCTTTTTTCAATATATTCAGAGCTATCCTGAATGAGCTATCCTCATCAAACGCTAAACTTCAAAATACCCCAAAGATAAACATTAATCTTGAGCTTAGTTGCTCTCTATTCCTTTTTCTTGGAAACATATCTCGGAATCTAACAGATCTTTATGAACGTCGGATTGTAACGAAGTGTTTCCTTTATCAATCTATTGAGATTTGGCATAAAACTGAGGTGGAACAGTCCTAAAGCGAACACTCCTCGAAAAATGATCTCAGGTTTGGTCACACTTTTTCTTTTATACCCCGTTTTTTGAGTGTAGTGCATAGCCCGTTATGAAACTTAATGAGTAACGAGATTGTGTGTGGTTCAATGATTTGAGTTAAGATTGAAAATGAAATACTCACAGTTGGCCTCATCGGAGCTGTCTTCGCAATGACGACGGCCATCGCAGCGTTCGCTCTCCGTGTAGCACCTGCCACTGGGGCATGTGTGCTGTGGACAGGGCAGCGGTTGGTACAATGGATGACGTGTGGTATGCAAATGGCAGTCGCGCTCATCGCTGCGGTCTGTGCAATCGATATGTCCGTCGCAGTATATCGAACGATCGAAGCACGACTCATCGCAAAAGAATTGATCCCGGCGGCAGTCATCGGCGGTTAGCCGATTTGTGGCTATGATTGCGAATGCGATTGCGATTGCGTTTGCATGCGATATATATTGATGATTGTTTGTGTGTGGTGTGAGGTGTGTGGTATCGTTATCGATCCCGATAACAATCAACGATTATGCGTGTTCGATTTTAAAGCATAACAAGAAAGAGAGACAAGAGAACAAAGTGAGCAACGGCTTGTTAAATGGGCAGCAGTTGAGATTAATAAAGCGGCGCTTTCAGGTACAAACACAACCTCACTTAGTTAATACTTTATAGACATATACAAACCTGTGCGTTATATATCGTTATCGCTGTTATCGATACTTAACTTACGGCTAGGCACTTAAAACTAAAGAGAGTAGGTTGTTGGATCATTTTTGGACTGGACGGCAATTTGTTGGGTTTGTCGGGAAAGTTGTCTGGTGATGATTGTTAGAGGGGAGGGCATGGGGGTGTGGGGTGTGGGGTGTGGGGTGTGGGGTGAGCTTGAGTTGGAATTGTGTGTATCGTTACCCTGTCCCAAGCAATTAACCGGCAATTCATCCGATTCGTCCGTGCAATCGGCTTGTTTGTCACACAAAAAATCGGCGTTAATGCATTCAGAGTTCGCGCATTGCCATTGATACGGTTGGCAGGTTTTAGTTCTGGTTGTGTTTCTAAAATTGTTGTTGCCAGTTGTGTGGTTGTCTGTGTGTGTGTGTGTGTAGATGTGTGTGTGTGTGTGACGTTTGTTAAAACAAAACAACAAAAATAACAAACGTAAAAAAACGCATGAGCATTACAAAAATTATGCAGAATGTTTGTGACTTATGAGAGCAACAGAATAAGGGAGAGAGAGAGAGAAACAGTTAAATAGAGAGAGGGGGAAAGAGAGAGAGACAGCAAAAGAGAAAGCGAGAAATGAGTTCAAGTGAGTAGGCGCAATATGGGCGTGAAGTTTATGCAAGAGTGCGAGTGGGAGCTCCAATAGAGCTGCTAAAAAAGTTATCGATATTTATCGATGTTAATTTAAAGGCTTGAAAATGGTTCACAAAAAATGGAAACCATATTCAAAAAATGCGGGCAATGCGAATATCAAAAAATAGTAGCTATACTGCTCGAAAACTTATCGACAGGCAAGCAAAAGTTATCGATAACAGTTCGACAGTTGCCGATAGCAACAAACAAATGTCGATAACAAAAAGTAGAAAAATATGTAAAAAGTAAAAAATGCAAAAAGTTATCGAACGTGATCTATGTGAAAGTGTTAAAGCAATGCCAAATAAGAGCTGGCACTGCACAAATATTTATCGATAGCTATCGATTGGCAGAAATCGTAAAATTAGAAATATATATTGAAAAGTCTACGCAGATAGTTGTAAGTAAATATTGAAACTAGAGATAGATATGTATATGTAATTGTTACCCGGACAATCGCGCTCATCAATGCCATTGTCGCAATCGAATTTACCATCGCATCGCAGCGACCAATCGAGGCAGGCGCCGTTGCAGGCAATCTGATAGAGCGTACAGCCGCTGCCTTCAAAATTGCAATATAAATCAATGAAAAGATTGTAAAAAACAAATGTATTTAAAAAACAAAACGACAACAACACAAAGTAATCGCTGTGCGCAATAACTACGAAACTACCAGGCAGACAAAAACAAACTACAAATTCGGCAGAGATCAAGAATATATAAGAGATATTGCAAGTAAATAAATGTTGCTACTTCTACGGGCTACGGGCTACAGTTGCAGTGCTGGGTGTAGGGTAGGGTATTGAGAGGTCTTAGTAGTTGGTTTTCGTTGGGTTTCTTTGGTTTTGTTTTGTTTATGTGCTTACCACAGTTGCGCTCATCGCTGGCATCGGTACAGTCAGCGATGCCATTGCAATGCAGCTGGCTGGCAATGCAATCGCCAGTGTTGCAGCTGGCGATTGTGCGATAGGTTTATCGATTGGCGATAATGTTCATGATGACGATGACGATGATGATGGTGACGCAGACGTTGGTGATCGTGTGTAATTGTGTGCGTATGAGTGTGTGTGTGTGTGTTTGTGTGTGCATAAAAGAATATATATATATATAAGAGAGTTTAATGCGAAGGGCTAACGATATTGTTGCTTGGGCAGCCGATATTGGAACATCTCTTACAGATAGGCATCATTGCGACAAGAAGTACAGTTGCGTTCATCGTTGCCATCGTTGCAGTTGGCAATACCATTGCACAGCTGATCGCGTGGCATGCAATAATCATCGCACTCGAACTCGTGCTCTAGACAATGTTCTGCAAAATGACGATGATCACGAGATTATGTGTGTGAATGTGTGTGCGAGAGTGTGTGTATGCGAGTGTGTGTGTGTGTGAGTAACATAAATTAGAGTGGACCAAAGTGTACACTCTAAAGCTGTGTTAGGCAAGTGGCAAGGTGTTTGTTTGGAATATTAGCGAAGCAGTTCTTAACACAATATACAGTAAAGCCTCGCTGCATGTGTGTGTGTGTGTGTGACATATATGAGTGTATGTGTCTGTGTGTGTGTGTGAGTGGGTGTGTGTATGTTTACCTGTAAAAGCCGGACAATCGAGCTCATCGGTTTCATCTTGACAGTCCGCATAGCCATCGCACTTCTTCTCTAAGGGTATGCACTGGCCAAAGTCACACTCAAAATAATACAGATCGCACTCGTTCAATGGATCATTGTCGGGGTCTGTGTCTGAGTCACTGTCTATATATATATATATATATATATATATATATGCGTATTTGTACATGGGACAATGTGTATGCAAAGATGATGAAAAACAAAAAATAAACAAATATATAAAGTATATATGTAGCGTCAGTTATGCGGCAACTCTCTTGCTCCAAATTTGGTCTATATCTTTTGGTTTTTTCTTTTTTTTCTTCATTTTTTTGAGGTTAGTTTCTTAGTAGTACCGTAGTTCGTCTCGTAATTGATCAGACAGTTGTACTCATCGGCGCCGTCGGCGCAGTCCGTGATGCCATTGCAGCGCTTGTAGCCGGAAATGCAGCTACCGTCCCCGCATTGGTATTGGAAGCTCTGGCATTCGATGATCGGGCGGCTCAGATTGAATTTGGCATGAAAGTCTGATGGCATGATGGTGTTTGTATGATAGTATGACGGATGGTTGTTGTGTTTGATGTTGTTTGTTGTTGTTGTTGTTGATGTTGTTGTTGTATACAATATGGAGCATAGGTCACAGAGAGCGAGACAGAGACAGTGAGAGAGCGAAAGAGAGACGACGATTTTACACAGTTGGGTTTTATATTTGTTTGTTTTTTTTTTGCAGTTTAAAGCGTGGAGCGTAAAAAGAAGAAGAGAACAGAGTACAGTTAGCGGCATAAAAACTAAATATGTTTTTTACTCTTCAAGAATGTTTGGCGCGGGATTCCGGATGTGGGCGGTAGGGTAGGGTATTTGGTAAATTTGTGGCTGTGGTGCATTCATATATTTGGCAAAATTATAAATACTTAGTTGGTTATGCTTAAAAGTTAAAATAACTCAAAAATCCCGAGCCGAATAAAGCTAAAGTTGTGCAAAAAATACTTGAAAAAATTATACAAATAAAATACTTTAAGAAATTGTTGCTTAGCAAATTAATTAGTAAGATTAATTGGTCAACATAAATATATTTAAATAATAAATAATAATAATAAATAAATAAATAATTAAATAGATTATTCATTTGTAATTAGTTAAGTATCATTTTGTCAAAGGACAGCTCTGCAGAAGAGGCTCACTTGTCGTGTCACGACACGCGCCCATCTCTAAGCGATATTTAAGATTATTTAATATTACGATATATTCATACCCAACCGAAAATATGGCTTAAGTTTAGTTAGTTAAGCAATTAGTCGTTTCGTTCATAGCCAGGCTTAAGGTGCGAATGTGAACATTTGGGGTCGAGGGGTGTGGGGAGTCTGGGGGTTGGTATTGTGCGTACATGGCAAATGCATGAATTGGTAAAGCAGAAATTCAGTGGTTTGCTACTTACGACATGCGCTCTCATCGCTGCCATCGCGGCACTGAGATTTGCCATCGCAGACTTGGGTTTTGGGTATGCAACCGCCGCCGCGCACACATTTATACTGAGAAAACACATGTATTGTTTATGTATGTGATGCGTCTGTGTCTGTGTGTGTGTGTGTGTGGGGGGTGTAGCTGTGTGTCTGTGTGTGTGTATGAGGGATGGCACTTACCTTGTCACTGCTGCAATTGCATAGTGCATAATCCTCGTCCTCATGCTCTTGGCAGTCGGGAATGTCATCGCAGACGCTCTCAATCGGAATGCAATCGCGATTGTGGCACGCGAATTCAATGTTTTCGAGGCAATTGCTGGGCAATGATGATGATGATGATGATGACGATGATGATGACGATGATGATGAGCTGTCTATAAATGGTGTTTGGTTGTTTTTTTTTGATTTTGTATGGATGTCGGGGTCGGTGTTTGGCAAGACATATTTTTAATAATACGAGCGAGCAGGTACATAAATAACATAAAAAAGAGAAACAGAAGAGTTACAGTGAGTGCATGAGAAAGAGAGCGAGAGAGAGAGAGAGAGGTGGGAGTATGTATGTGTGTGTGGCAATTATAATTAAAAAAAAAAAAAGTGGCGGTAAATTTAAAAATAACGTAACATTAAATGCTAAATTAAATGCTTTACTTTATATCTAGTTGATTGCTTTTGTGTGTTTGTGTGTGGTCTGTTTGTGTATGTGTGAGCTTAAATTATGTAAATTTCAATGTAGAATCACAAACATGGCATGCACTTTGTTGTGGAACCCGTCTAAGCTAAAGAATTACACCAGCCCTCAAACGGTGAGCGCAGCGCAGCAACTCGTCACTCATTACTCGCTGCTAACAGCTCGTTACTCGCTGCCAGCAACGCATTACTCGCTGATAGCAGCTCGTTACTCGTTACTGACTCTTAGCAACTCGTCACTCTTTACTCGCTGCTAACAACTCGTTACTCGCTGCTAACAACTCGTTACTCGCTGCTAACAACTCGTTACTCGCTGCTAACAACTCGTTACTCGCTGCTAACAACTCGTTACTCGTTACTCGCTGCTAACAACTCGTTACTCGCTGCTAACAACTCGTTACTCGCTGCTAACAACTCGTTACTCGCTGCTAACAGCTCGTTACTCGCTGCTAACAGCTCGTTAGTCGCTGCTCGTTACTCGTTAATTTAAATCCAAACTACTTGCATTGCTTACTCGCTACCTGTTGGATGGTTTTTCGTTTTACCCAAGCATTTAGAGATGCAAGACAACTAGCTACACGCTACTTTTAAGCATAAGACACCTACTCGTTAGAACTCCTCTCGTTGTTATTGATATTGGGTTAGTGGTTGGACGCGTGCCTGCTGTTACTGCGTATGGCGATTGTGTCGTCTTTGTTGTCTGGCGCTCCAGTGAGGCCGGCGGTACCTTTGCCCAGTAATAGGGCGTCGGTGCGGCCGTCACGGGTCGCCTGGTGGTTGTGGGACGTTTATAGCGATCGCAATTATCCTCGTCACTTTTATCGTTGCAGTGGTAGCTGCCATCGCAGCGCAGATGGAGCGGTATGCAGACTTTGTTCCCGCATTCGAATTGATTGGTGGCGCAAGGATTTTGGGGACTTGACTTTTCGTATAGGTCTTGGGGAAGGTACAGTGAGAACTCTTTCGCATCGAGCTCGTGCATGCCGATATGCATTTTGTTATCGTTATCGTTATCGCGACCAATTTTCGGCGGTGGTCGCGGACGGTGATGGTCTGCATAATTGCGTATAATGCCATTCATATCGACGGTATCGGGTTCGTTTGCGTTGACATCGTTCAAATCTGTGAGCCGCATGCATTTGTCGTTGTTATCGGTTTTGGGGGTCGAGTAAGGATGTGGAGGTGGTAACCGCATGCAGAACCGTTGATATATATATAAACACGGGGATATTTGGGATATTTGTGAGATGGATTGGACATCATTATCGATTATTATTATTATTATTTTTTGTTTGTTAAGTTTTGAGCATGCAAATTTTGCAGTTGAGCCAATTGATGTTGTTGTTGTTGTTGTTCCAGTTGCGGGGAGTTGGATTGTTGTTTTTGTAGCGTGCAATTAATCGATTAGTTTTTGGACATTCGATAACCACAACCACAAACGTTCAAGTTTGTTCACATATTTTGGTAATTTTATCGGATTTTGTTTTTTTTTGTTCAGGTCGAATTGGGAAAGAAGAGAAATAAAATGTAAATTTGTTAAGTAAAAAATCATAACTTTTGGCAGTTGACACGCATAAGAGCTACCACAAAGACGCGTAAGCATTCGATAATAAATAACTATCGAACAAAGAAGCGATACACAGAGAGAAACACATAGGGAAGATTGTAGGCGAACATATTGAGAGAGTCGCTGTAAAGATTGAGCAGTCACCAAGAGTTACCAAATATAAACAGAGAACCGCAGTAAGCAATACACACAGAAGCTTATTTCATAACAGAGACGCTTATCGATAACAATGCCAGAGACGGAGCACTTACCGCAGTCTTGCTCGTCTGTGTAATCGTTACAATCGTAGATGTTATCGCACACCTGACGCACCGGTATGCACTCACCGTTCCCGCAGCGGAACTCAGTAAAATGACACTGATCATCGGGATCGTAGCCACCTGAGTGTTGTGTAATGTGTTATCGATAACCGATAGTCGGCAATTGGTATGGATATGTTTATGGATGGGTTAGTGATGCGCTGTAAATGTGGTGAGTGTTTCGAGGAAGTGAATTGGAATCGACGCTGGGGCCTCGCCTGCAGCCTGACAGCTGACAAGGCACAAATCGATAAGTGCAAGACAGTGTTGTATAGCGATAAAAAGTAGGGTAGCATAGTAACAGCGTTGACGGGCATTGACAGCACGCGTGACCAACTTACCTGCCAGTGTGGCACTCACTCCCGAGCAACTATGACAGTCAAACACGCACGCACACATCCAGACACACACATTCACACACGCACACACACTCACCCTCGCAGTAGCGTTCATCGGATATATCCTCGGGGCAATCGATGTTGCCATTGCAGAGCATCTCCTTTGCAATGCAAGTGCCATCGTCGCATTGCCATTTGTCGTACAGACAGGCTGCATGTGAGCAATGGGCGAGAGAGAGAGAAGGAGAAGGAAGGCGGATGGAAAGAAGAGAGGGAGAGAGAAAGTACGCATGTACAGCACATATCAAGTTGAGAGAGAGGGTGTCAAGACATACGGCAACCCTCCTCGTCGGAGCGATCGTGCGGACAATCGGCGCGTCCATCACAGCGATGCACAATCGAAATGCAGCTAAGATCGCGACAGGTAAATTTGCCCTTGGGGCACGTGTAGCGCAGCTTTGGCACAACTGAGCAGCATGGCGAAAAAGTGCAAAGAGAGAGGGAGAGAGAGTGTGTGGGAAAAGGGAGAGCAAATAGTTAAGAAATGAGCAAAATGCAAATGATTGATTGATTGATTGATTGATGCATGTGTGCTGATGTACACACTAGATTTCAAAAGCATAAAGCAATTTGTATACTATAAAATCATATCAAAAGAGATAACAATCTATTATTTTATTCAACATTTGAATTTGTCCTAAGTAGAGAGCTCTGTCAATCATTTGAAAGCACAGTGCGCAGTCATCGTAGAAGCTAAATGATTGAGCTTGCTTGACAAGGACTTTTATTTAGGCAACAAATTGTTCTGCTAAAATACTCTGCTTCATACATTTGACAGCACCAGAAATAAATCATGTGCATGTTAAGTTGGCTGCGCTAAGTAACTGCTTCAATCAAATGTGATTGACAGTAGCAGAGACAGACAGAGTGCGAGCCAGAGCGAGTGAATAGTTTGGACAAAAGACTTTAACTTTTGGAATCTGTGTGCCAAGCAAATGTATGCATTATTTTTGTTTTGATGAATTGATTGATTGATTGATTGGTCGTCGTCCGGAAATGATTGATACTCACTTCCATCGCAGTGCTCCTCGTCATCGGCATCGTTGCAATCGGCGTGGCCATCGCATTGCTGGCTGACGCTGATGCAGCGGGTGCCATCGCGACATTGATACTCCATGCCGCTGCAGGCGGCGGCTGATGTGGGCGTTAGTAACGTTGGGCGTATAATGGGGTTTTTTTTTTTAAATTTATTTATGTGTTAGTTGTTGCACCCATTCGCGAGCGGGCGGGCGGGCGGTAGTGAGAGAGAGAGAGAGAGAGAGAGAGAGAGAGAGAAAGCGGAGAGAGTAAAAATAATTTGGTTAGTGGTTAGTGGTTAATAACTGTGGTTAATTGGTGTGGCATATGGGGACAGTTACCGTAAGCAAACGTAGGCTAAAACGGGAAGATTACAATGGCTACGACCGGTTGCCGGTTATCGGCAATCGGTAGCGGTTATCGATTATCGACTATCTAAATGGCTTACAGCTAAACATCTTAGTCAAACTTAGTGTTAACGCATAGACGTATCCAAAATACTTTGGGCTAACGTCTACCAAAAATATATACGTACATATATGTGTGTCTAGGGTGTGTGTGTGTGTGTGTGGTGTGTGTAGGGTTTTTGGCATTTAATAGATCTGTTCTCAGTCAACAACTTACGGCATTCTTCGCCCTCATCCTCGCCATCGGGACAATCCTTGACATAGTCGCAAAGCTTGCTGGCCTCAATGCACTGTCCATTGCGGCATCTATATTCGCTGGCACTGCAATCTGCAAGGGGCATAAGAGAGGTATTCGAGTTAAGATTTATGCATACATACATGTATATACCCTGTAAATAGGAGTGAATGAACAACAAAAGTTTAGCACACGATTTGTGCTGTTGCATAACACAGTCGATAAGATCTGTGGACTTTAGCTTTTTGAGCCAACCCATCGAACTCGAGGATTATAAGTCTGATTGCTGTGAAATTTGGTATGTGGGCTCCTTTTTATCTGTTGCTGAAGCATACTCAATATTTTAGTAATCCGCAGAACGGTTCTCGAGTTTTGCAACCACACACATGTAACTCAGATACTATAAGTCCGATTTCTGTCAAAATTGGTATGTGGGCTTAATTTTATCTGTGACTGAAGCATACTTTATTTCTTGTTCGTCCGCACAGCTGTTTTCGGATGTCTTTGAAACCCATTGAACTCAGAGAATATGGAGGTTGGGTATACCAAATTTCGTATATACACACTTATTTTTTATAAAAAAACGATCTTACTAAATAAATTGGAATAGCACAATTTTTGGTTTGCTGCAACCAAATTGCAGGGTATTAGACGGCACAGAACTTTTATGTGGCAAATATATGGGTATATTTTGGAAATATATATTTTTGGATTGGCAATGGTGCAATTAGCCCTCAACCGGATGCAGTTTAACAAGCATTTCCCACTTTTTCGTCAAATTTGTCAGTTGCCAACTTGAAAGCAAAAGTTTGTTAGGTGTCTGTCTTTCGCTGCGTGTGTGTGTGTGTGTGTGTGTTTGTCTGAGTGTTGTGTGTTGATAAGTTGATAAGCCTGACAACCTACTCGCACTGACACAGCGACCATGCCACACCTCCAGCTCCGGCTACAGCTCTGCTAAAGCATCGTTAGCCACAGTTTCCTGTGCATGCTTTTGCCTTTTTGAACCCTTTTTTTTTATTTGTATTTTTTGCTGTGTGCCTGCCCCGCCTACTGCTGTTGTTGTTGGACAGGACGCCGCCTTAAATTCCAGTCAACTTAAGCATTTTCACAAATATTTTTCACACTTTTCATTCATCTTCTGCCGCCTGTTGTTGCCTTTGCAACACAAAGTGGCAAGCAACGCGGATTTGATTACAAGAGAGCGAGTTTAGCCAAAGGACGGAGGCGACAAAAAAAACTCACACAGAAGGAGTTCAAGGGTGGTTGGAGAGTTGGCGGGTGGCTGGAGGGGGGGAGGGGGCTGTGTAACAACAGAGAGCAGCGGCTAATTAAAAGCAAAGACAAGAGGCGCACGCCAAAAACTGGGGGCGTGTCACTTGGCTCAAGTGTAATCAGAGCCAGCTTTCAGTATTTTCCAGCTCCAGCTGCCTCAAGCCAAGAAAATAACAGAAAATATATATATATATATATATATATATATATATATATATATATATATATATATATGTAGGTATATATAATTTGCAGATTATAGCAACAATTAGCGGGCATTTAATTTGCAACAGATACTTGGTCCACAGCAAAATGTCAAAGGCAATAGAAAATAGTCCAAATTGAAGGTTTAAATATCCATTGCATACTTTAAGGGGAGGCATTTAAAAATCTGTCTAAATCAAAGCTATTTATAGCTTTAAATTGAGCCTAGTTAAATGAAGTATTTTAACTGATCACAAGCTGGACATGGATCTGGGCCTTATCTATTTTACTTCAATATTTACAGGGTAAGTTGAAGCCTAGCTAGTTTCTAAGGGAAAAAGCACATCATGTTTTTGTGCAAATGTATGTAACAGGCAGAAGAGAGCTTCGCCGAACACATAAAGTATATATATTCTTGATCAGCATCGAAAGCCGAGTGCCCCTCTGTCTGTCCGTCCGTTCTCAGATACTATAAGAGTTAGAAACTTGAAATTGAACTAAGGTTCTCCTCGTGCCCGCGCAGTACGATAATCCGATAATCGATAACTTTCCCCGTTTCCAAGCAATCGATTAAAGTCGAATTGCTGAGCAAATCCTTTTGGTTTTAAGAGCAAGAGTCACCAAAGTTGACATGAAGTATATATAATATATATAATCAAGTATAATCAAGTATATTTCATCTTATAGCTGCCTTTGGGGTTGATAGAAATAGGTTGAGGGTTTTCAACTGAATTCTACTTTAAATGCATTCACTTGTATGGCCTTGCCTAGCTATGATTGGCTTTGGCAAACAGATTATCGCAGAAGACATCGAAGTTGACATAGCCCAGCCTATAGAGCATATATATATATATATATATATATATATATATTCCTGATCTATGTGAAAAGAGTAGCTGTCACATCATCTTCATAACTTATATAAGAGTCGGAGACTTGTATTTGGTTTCAATATCTGCTCCCATTTTCATCATATCGATAAATATCGATTTGGAGACTTGATTGCTTAAGCATAACTCGAAGATTTTAAAGGCTAGCTACACCAAACTTGGCATATAGCTTCTCGTAGAGTCAACGCAGACTGGCAATATTTCACTTTTTGAATACCCTCCCCCTTTGACTGTATATTTGGGAAAATATTTATTTTTTTTTAAAGCTACAACCTTGCGCGAAGATCGGACTCCAGATACCGAACACATTTAAAAAGGACAAAGAAAAGAAGAAGCACAGCTGCTGTGCGTATGCCTAGAAGAGGATTCGAGTGCGTGCAATGCCAGCCTGGCGCTGACTGTAGGGCATCTGCTGGCCAGGCAGCGCACTCTACTTTGCTTTTTGGCTTAACATATTTGTGTATTTGTTTGGGAAATGTTTACTTTTGCTTGTGCTTCTGTTGCTTTTTACCATCTGATTGCCTTGGCGCATTCAATTAATGCAAATGCCTTCAGCTGGCTTCAGGTGAGGCTTGCGGATTTAGGCTTGATGCGATTTACTGTTCGTTTTTTCTTTTCTTCAGTTTTTTAAGGGTTCATTGGGGCCATTGGCCGCCATAAATCAACAATTGTCGTCGTCGTCGTCGTGGTTAACTGCAGCGCCAACTTTAACTACTTTTTGGGCGCTCACAAATCGGTAAAGTTTTGTTGCTTGCTTTGCTGCTTGCAATTTGCAACACGAAGCTGGCAATAGCGTTTTCTTATTATTATTGCCAAGTTTGTCTATGGCGCAATTGGCACGCCCCCGCGCCCTGCCACGCCTACCAGACCGGTCGGGAGAATGCGCTTTGACAATTCCGTTTGCGCCTCAAAGCATGCAACTCAATTTGCAGACCAAGCAATAGCGGCGAGAGGCGTGGCAAGCGCCATGTGGCAAATGGCAAGTGGCATATGGCAGGTGGCAGGTGGCAGGTGGCAGGTGGCAAGTGGCAAGTGGCAGGCACAAAGGTGCAGACAGAGAGAAGCAACAAAGCTTTTGCTTATTGACATTAAAGATTCAATAATGGCCAACATATGGCAGCTGCCGGATTTGGCTGCCAAACTCATCAAACCCAACAAACAAACAAAAAATATGGCAAAAAGCCAAAAGAACAGGCAACAGGAGCTGCTTGTGGGCCAGAGCGCTCGACTGCGAAATACCCTGCGCTTAGCTAACCCTCGAGATACTTAACTAGATGTGAATTGTTCAGATGGTTCAGCTTGACAAAACCATGCATATTATCTATAATCTGATGCATTCATTCACAATATCTCTATCTAAATAGATAAATTTCCTTATATATAAATATGGATCTATGCATAATGTATTAAGAGTTGGAGAGAGGCATAAATTAACGACATCAATAGTTAAATGAGCAACAAGGTATTACAAATAAATAGATTAACGGATAGATAGACGAACTGAAAGATGAACTTATATATGCTTGGGTATATCTTTGATTATAGATATTATAGATATAGAGAGACTATCTATCTATCCGTCTATATATTTATCCATTTATTAATCCATCTATCTATCTATCTATCTATCTATTTTTCTCTCTATCTATTTATCTATAGAGCCTCTACCCATATCTTTATCTATCTACTATCTATCAATCTATCAATCTATCCATATATCTATCTATCTATCTATCCATCTATCTATCTATCTATCTATCTATCGATCCAACTATCTATATACCAATCTATTTATTTATCTATTTATCAAACAATCAATCAATCTATCTATCTATCTATATATCCATTCATCTATCTATATATGAATCTACCAATATATCTATCTACCAACCTATTGATCTATCTATCTATCTACTTAATGATATCCATCCATCCATCTAACTATCTAAAGACATAGATACACTTCACATAGAAAGCTCTGGGTGCAGATACGTTCGCCTGTTACATACCAAATGCCCAATTGTATGCTAGCCGCTTTTGTTGTGGCCATGCGGACGGGGTATTTTAAAGAAAGGCTTCCAATTATGTGCTAGCCTCAGACAGAGAAAAGAGGCGTGGTGTGGGGCGGGGGGCAGCTGGTAAGCCATTTGCCGGCTCGTTTGATGCTCAGGACACAGGTAAACAAATTACGTGCAGCATTTATAATCCGCCCGAAACCCACCCAAAAACAGAGAAAAAAAAAAACACACACACACAAAATATAAATAAAAAATAATATAAAATAAAACAAGATGAAAAGGCAAAGGGAAAAAAAAAACATCTCACAAATTGGGCGAGAAGCAACAGGCAAACAGCAATTGGCAGCAGACGCATTCAAATCACAGTTGCAGTAACTTTTGCAAGACAGACCCACACCCACACACACACACACACACACACAGGGGCAGCAGCCACAACAACTGGTTCAAGTGTCAAATGGCCGTGTGGAATTTCTCTCGCTGCTTTCCTCAGTTTCTCTCTTCCACACTCTCTCTCTCTCTCTCTCTTTCGCCCTCACTCTCTCGCTCTGTCTCTCTTTCTGCTGAAATGAGAGCCGTGTCAGCAGGCGCACAGCAGCGCACAGCGTGAATGAATTGAGTGCATGCGAGTGTTTCGAATGCATGAATGAGTGAATGAATGACCAGCAGCTCGTTGCCAGCTCCTGCACTCATTTGCACTTGAACTTAA